GGTGGGAATGCAAAATAGCATAGCCATTTTGGATGAAAGACAGTCTGGAAGTTTCTTACAAAACTAAACATAGTCTTACCATATGATCCCGTATTCATGCCCAAATGGGTTGAAAACTTATGTCTACACAAAAACCTGTGCACGAATATTAATAGCAGTTTTATTCATAACTGCCAAAACTTGGAAGCAACAAGATGCCCTTCAGTAGATGAATGGATAAACAAACTGTGGTACATCCAGACAATGGACTATTATTCAGTGATTTCAAAAAGTGACACAGAGGGATCTTAAATGCATATTGCTAAGTGTAAAAAGCCAATCTGAAAAGACTGCATACTTCAGCTATATGATTTTTGGAAGAGAGAGGGTTGAATAGGTGGAGCGCAGGATTTTTTAGGGCCATGAAACTGTTCTGTATGATTCAGTAATGGTGGATACATGTCCTTAAGTGTTTGTCAAAACTATATAATGTGTAGCACAAAGCGTGAACTCCAAGCAAACTATGGATTTTAGTTAATATTGGATTAACATTGGTCTGTTAATTATAAACTAGAGGCCCATTGCACAAAGAGATTCGTGCAATAGGCCTTCCCTTCCCCTGGCTGCCAGCACCGGTTTTCCTCCGGCAGCTAGGACCCAGGCCTTTGCTGCTCCGGCTGGAGCCTTCAGTCTTCACTACACCACTTCGTGCCTATGTATGCAAATTAACCGCCATCTTTGTTGTGTTAATTTGCATACTCTCCTGATTGGCTGGTGAGTGTAGTGGAGGGATGATCAATTTACATGTTTGTCTATTATTAGGTAAGATGGACCACACAAATGCAAGATATTAATAATAGGGAAGGTGTTTGTGTGGTGGAGAGAAGGGGAACATGGGATTCTCTCTACTTTCCACTCATTTTTTTCTGTAAACCTGTTCTTAAAAAATGTTTATTAAGAAAACAGTACTTGATAAAGAAATCATACACATGTACACACATGCCTATACATATACATTCAACATGCTGTATAAAGTACTCTTATTTAACAGGTAGAGCACAGCTAATATTTTTCTAAGGTGTTTTTTAGCTGTTTCTGATGTATAAATAAAATATTTTATTTGATATTTGAGGGTTTTCTTCTCCCCTGAAGACATTTATTGAGTGTACATTATTTGGCAGATACTTTTAGGTATTTTTATGACCAATCTCATTTAGTTTGAAGTAGATACCATTCACCTCATTGCACAGGTGAGAAAGCTCTGGCTCAAAGAAGTGGAGTGGCAAAGTTGGTATAGGCATACCTCAGATATTGCAGATTCAATTCCAAACCACTGCAGTAAAGTGAGTATCACAATAAAGTGAGTTACAATCTTTGTGCTGATGGAGGATCTTGCCTTCAGATTTTTAAAATGGCAACATCTGTGAAGAGCAATAAAGCGAAGTACAGTAAAATGAGGTATGCCTGTACTTGAATCTAGGGATGTCTGACTCCAAAGCCTGTGTGTGCTGTGCAGCTATATGGCCTTTGTAATTACATAGCAATATTTTTTGAAATAGCTAATGTTTATCCTCTAACAAGTGTGAGTGTCTTTAGAGCCAAATTATTATTGAAAGGGATTGTCTAGGTTTGAATCTTGGCTCTACTGTATACTTTTGCTTTGTGATTTTAATTAGGTTATATGACCTCTTAATGCTCTAGTTTCCTTGATGTATTAGAGACAGTTGTTGAGATTGTTGTAAGGATTAAATGAGGTAATATATGAAAAGCTCTTAGAACAGTGCCTGGTTCAGAATATGAGTTCCATAAATGTTAGCTATCAGTAGTGGAATAAATAAAGGAAATTGAGACCCAAGTAAATTAAGTGATTTCCTGAGTCATAATTTTCCAAGGTCACAAGAGCTATTAAATAGCAAAGTTTAGTTTTTTTATTTGAAGGTGATAATTTTATCCATTTTAAAAAAGAGAAACTCTTTACTGGGGTGGTGGGGGCCTGCCCTCGGGGATGGGAGTGGCAGGGGGCAGCGTGTCAATCGAGGAAAAAGGAGACATGTAATACTTTAAACAATAAAAAAAAGAGGGAAACTCTTTAAAAATGTGTTGCAGTTTCTTCCCATCTGCTTACAGTCTACCGTATATAGTTTGATTTTTTTTCTCAGATTGATACGGTAGGGAAAAAGCATTGGGCTTTATTTAGGTGCTGGACCAGGCTTTATTCCTGATTAGTTGTGTGACCTTAATGTTTCTGATTGTAGTTCATTTGTAAACTAAGGGTAGGTGGAATTGGGCCAGATGATTTCCTAGTTCCTTTTACAGCACCAACAAAATATGATTCTGAGCTACACTGCTTTTATCAGGAATTCCTGCACTATGCTATATAACACCCTGAGGTTCCCAGAACTTCTTGATGCATGTGTAGGGTGGTTCATCTCTGTGCTAAATGACTGAGGAGTGCTGTACTTTTATATTGGCCATCCACAACCTATCTCAGCGTTTTCTTAGCATTCTTCCTGCTTTTTCTACTGTCAGTCTACTTTCTTGATATGGTTGATTGATTTATTGCCTTTACCTTTTTACAGAGTAGAGCTTGTGTGGATTTTGTTTTCAGTTCTCAATTGAGCACATAGCATTCTTTTTTGGCTGCTGGATTCACAGCTAAGTACTGAGTCCTCTAGCATGGAATAGGGTTGGGAATAGGAAATGCCAAAGACTCTAAATTGTGTAGTACGATCTTCCTGCCGAAGGTATGATTTTAGTGACAGAATCTTTGAGGTGTCTTTTACCATGGGATCAAGTTTTAGTTTGTTTGTTGTATAAAAGGACCTGTGAATTGCAGCATGTGCATGTTCCTGCTTTACCTTAAAGTGATATGTATACATAATCAAAGTAAGTTTCATTTGTTAGTTCACTTACATAACCTTTTTGTTTTAGGCAAGCCTCACTAGCTTATTTCTGGTGGATTTTGTAAACCAGAGTCAGGGAAGTTGGTTACAGGATATGAATAGTTTTGCACTTAGGTCACAGTTGAGTATCATCTATAATAATAAAAGTGTAATATGCTAATTAGACCGACGTCCTTCTGGACGACTTTCCAGACGAAGCCGGGGCTGCAAGGGAAGCCCGGGTCCTGGGTGCCAGAGGGAAGCCGGTGCCGGCAGCTGAAGGAAGGAAGGCCTACTCTTGCACAAATTTTGTGCATTGGGCCTCTAGTTTGATTATAATCATGGGTCTTTTTTTTTTTCATTTGTATTTGGGAGAGTTAGATGTCACACATGTAACTTTCCTGGTCTGTCCAAATTAAAAAAGGATTTTTTTTTTTTCTGTAAGGGAGTAACTGGTGGACTATATTAGGAAACTTACAAAAAGAAGAACAAGGGGTGTTCTTTAAATTAAAAGATAATGAAATAAAGTCAAAGCTATTTCTTTGTGAGTTTATGTATTGTGTGGTATGTAAGATACTCCTGATATCTACATAGTTAAAGCATGTGTTCTATTCTGATAGTCACTCTCTAGTTTTTTTGTGTGTTTTTTTAAGTACCTGGCTTATATAAGCAGTTCATCAGTGCTCAGAAGAGTTAATTTTTACACTGTCTGGAATAAAATCTCCTAAAGGTGAAACAAAGGGATGATGAAGCCTCTGGGCAGAAATATACAGTGGGATCCTGGCTAGATTCATCCATGGGTAATGAAGACAGGATTTAGCAGATATTCAGGAGTCTCATATATCAGTGCATAATAGGTTGAGGGGGAAGTAGAATTTCTTGGGAGTACAGAGCCAAAAAAAAAAAAAAAAATCCGAATTTTTGGCTTAAACATGATTAAAGGAAAAACATTGTGGCAACATATGCTGCCTATCTCATCCTCCTATATAATAAAGAGATAATATGCAAATTGACCATCACACCCTCACAAGATGGCTGCCTATGACCAGGCCAATAGGGGGGTTAGTGAGGAACGACTGAACAAGCAGGCTGCCATGGGGTGACCAGGCCGGCAGGGGGGTTAGTGAGATGACCAAACAACTGAACAAGTAGGCTACGTGGGGCGACCAGGCCGGTGGGGGGTTGCAGTTGGGGGCGACTAGGCTGGCAGGGGAGGCAGTGAGGGGCGACCAGGCTGGTGGGGAGGGGGGAGAGGGAGGGGCAGTTAGGGGCGACCAGGCGGGCAGGTAGGTGAGCAATTCAGAGCCAGCGGTCCAGGATTGTGAGAGGGATGTCCGACTGCCAGTTTAGGCCCAATCCTGGCAGCTGGACATACCCTTAGGGGTTCTGGATTGGAGAGGGTGTAGGCTTGGCTGAGGGGACCCCCCCCCACCACACACACACACACACCAGGGGCCTCTAGGGGTTCTATCAGATTGAAAAGGCTCATGGTTACAATTGGTGGTGGTATATTTTCAGGTATCTTACCTACTTTTTGGATAGGTCTGATTAATGCCAGTTTCCAATAGAAAAATCTCAAGGTTAATTGCAACATTGTTGCCAACAATAGTACTATTACTTATTTTAGGTGGTGGTACTATGTTTGTTAATATCTTTATCTCATTGAGAGCAAGTCAGCGAGCTGCCATCCACATTGTGACTACCAGGAAGGGGTTGCTTTTCTGGCCATATCACTTAGACCAGTGGTCAGCAAACTGCGGCTCGTGAGCCACATGCGGCTTTTTGGTCCCTTGAGTGTGGCTCTTCCACAAAATACCATGTGTGGGCGCGCACGTACAGTGCGATTGAAACTTCGTGGCCCATGCACAGAAGTCGGTATTTTGTGGAAGAGTCACACTCAAGGGGCCAAAGAGCTGCATGTGGCTCACGAGCCACAGTTTGCCAACCACTGACTTAGACTCACTTTTTCATGGGCCCAGGCCTTCAAAGGCTGTTTTAGCTTTTTGTTTGCAATGAGGTAGTTGCTGTTGTAAAGATTGTTTCTTTTTAGTCAATAACATGCTTATAGGCTCCACACTTAGATATGAAACTGATAATAAATAAGCATTTTTGAAAAGTTGGTTTTATTTTCTCTTACAGGTGTAATTCGGAGAGCAGTCTTCAAACCTTTGCCGTATTGACTCTGAGTTGTCAGGGGACTCAGGCTTATGAGGAGGTACTGTCACATAAAACAGTGTCTGGTGAAGACAACAAGAAAGAGGGGAAAGGATCGGAAAAAGAAGCTAAAACACTGTAGGAAACCATGGTAGGTTATTACTTATGTTTCTTAATTAAGTTACAAAAGATTCCAATAGTTTAAAATTGGAAGTGTTAACAGGACGGCAAGTGAAAAAACAATGGTGTTAATTTTTGGCTCTAGTGCATCAGATGAAGAAGGCACTCTACCATTTAGGCAAAGAAATGAGTTCAGATTTATTATGAGCCCTTTAAACCACAAGATGGAGCCCCATGAGCCTGCAGACCATAAATTATTAAGTACAAAGGAGGGAATGTTCATAAATAATATTTTCTAATAAAACTGGCATCAGCAAATATACCAATGGCTGATGTGACCTTGAACTTGAAGTTGTGTAATTTTCTATGAATTCAGTTGTTTTTCCCCATGGAAATAAAAGTTGTGTATAAAATGTGTATTTAACTCGAAAAGCCACCTTTTTCCACATCCTTTTAAAATAATAAGGTCAAGTGTTAACTGTATTGGGGACACTGAACTGAATATCAAGGAAATCTTGTTTTCTGTGGAAAGTTCATTCTTTTGAATTTGAGATGTTAGATGAGGCCATAACCTCTGGTGCCTAGTTTTTTAGTTGGTAAAATGTGTTGGATTGTTTCCGCCTAGTGTTTTGTTTCAGGAGGATGTGTGAATTTTTTCCCTTTAGTATATAACTGAAAAAAGGTTTAAAAAAGGTGGGGAAAAAACACAAAAATATTAATCATCAGTATGTTTGAAATACATTGTTTAGTAAATCTGATAGTGTTTCTTTAAGTGTTGTTTGATTTTTAAAAAAGTTGTAGGAATTATAACTTAGTTGAATTGCTCTTTAGAGAAGAAATTCTAATATTTTAGTTCTGGATGGTGGGGAATATGTTGATTTGGGATTTTCTCTGTCCTGAGTTTTATGGTGATATGTAAAAAATGACACTGACTTGTGTTTCCTCCCATGTAAATTATTCAACACTTCAGCTCATTTATCTATTATGGTCTTGATATTCTTACAGTGTAAAGAAATGCTTTATATATATATATATATATAACTAGAGTCCCGGTGCACAAAATTTGTGCACGGGGGTGGGGTTCCCCTCAACCCAGCCTGCACCCTCTCCAATCTGGCATCCCTCTCACAATCCTGGACCACTGGCTCCTAACTGCTTGCCTGCCTGCCTGATTGCCCCTAACTGACCCCCCCCCCCCCCCCCCCCCCGCCAGCCTCATCACTTCTAACCACCAATGCCTGCCAGCCTGATTGCCCCTCACTGTCCCTCCTGCTTGGCCTGGTCACCCCTAAATGCCTCTGCCTGCCGGCCTGATCTCCCCCAACTGCCGCTCCCCCCCACCTCCCTGCTAGCCTGGTTGCCCCCAGCTGTCCCCCCTGCCAGCCTGGTCGCCCCACACAGCCTGCTGCTCAGTTGTTTGGTCATCCCTCACTAACCCCCTGCCAGCCTGGTCGCCCCACACAGCCTGCTGCTCAGTTGTTTGGTCATCCCTCACTAACCCCCTGCCAGCCTGGTCGCCCCACGCAGCCTGTTCGGTTGTCCGTTCGGTTGCGATGGTCGCTTAGGCTTTTATATAGATAGATTGGTCCTAGTTGATGAAAATTTCATTTCTAGTTTATTTTAAATTTAGCTTTGATTTTTTTGGTGTAGAAACTTGTGTTTTTATATAATTTAATTGGTTGGTAGGTCGTTTTCAATTTCTTGTATTATATCTCAGATTTTAATGAGAACTTTCTATTTCTGCATAGTTCTTTCAATTTAATTTTTTAATACTTTAAAAATCTATTTGGAGTTTATTTGGGTAAATAAGATCACCCTCCAATTTTTTTTTTTCATATTGTTTAACTCTTTCTTTCACCGTTGTTTCATTATGTTTGCCCTATTACGTCCTGTTGGCTCTTGGACTTAACATGGGCAGTCTGTGTTATTTTTGAGAGAGGCACCAAGGGCTTGTATTACATAGCAATCTAATTTTACTGTGGTGAGGCCAGTGTGTAGGACTGAGAGATCTAAGTAATTTAGTAAATCATCATAAAACTAAATGATGGAGAAAATCCAAAGGTAGCGTTTTTTTCCTATCATCCAGAACAAAAATATTTTAATAGAATTTCTTCTCTAAAGAACAACTCAATTGCCAAAACCGGTTTGGCTTAGTGGATAGAGTGTCGGCCTGCAGACTGAACGGTCCCAGGTTCGATTCCGGTCAAGGGCATGTACTTGGGTTGTGGGCACATCCCCAGTAGGAGATGTGCAGGCGGCAGCTGATCGATGTTTCTAACTCTGTCTCTCTCTTCTTTCCTCTCTGTAAAAAATCAATAAAATATATATATATATATATATATAAAAAAGAACAACTCAACTAAGTTATAATCCCTAGAACAACCTAGCATTTTCTAATTCGTTACATGGCTCTTTTGGGATATATGAGTAAATCTCATGAAGTGATTAAAAAGTTTGGCAAAAGAAATTCTAGTTAGAGACTGGTTGTAGACTTTGAGTAAGAAAGACATCTAGATAAGATTTTTTTATCTAGAACAAAGAAAGCTTCTGTGATTGCTTTTAGTCCTTTTTTAATTTAATAACGGGGTTTCAAAGGATTACTGACCTTTTTAGTTATAGTTGCTGCATTTTATAGGGAATAATTATACTGTAGTATTAGTTTACAAATTAATAGATTAATTTGTTCAAATTAATAGATTTTTAAAATATTGATATAAAAACAAAGCAAAGAACACTGACAAAATTGTGAATCTTTTATTTCGAGGTAAAGACTTTAAAGCAAATATTTACCACCTACTAGTGCATAATTTCATGTAAGTAAAGACACTGTAGCCATCCTTAAAAAAAAAAAAAAAAAAAAAGAATACTTTTGGCTTTATGAAAACTCATGAAGTTATCCTGGTTCATTTTGCTTTGCACGGGTACAAGTGCCTTCATGGTATTTGTAAATTTGGAAGTATTCAAGGTTTTTGATATGTGACTTATGAGTGTGAAGGATCTACTCTATTATATTTTCATGAAATTCATCCTATTTCTAGGCTTTAATCTGTATCACTGATTTCTGGACCAGTCATTTTAATTATTGCTTTTTAAGTTTTTGATATTTTGTTTTAGCACAATGGCACCACCCATCTATTTTTGTAGAATATTTCTTACTTTCATTGATTTTTTTTTCCTCCTCAAAAGAGCTATAAAATTATGTTCAGTATTAATACACTATCCTTAGGGTATTTTGATTGAGAATGTAATACATATGTAAATTAGTTTGGGAAGTTGATTTCTTTAGCAATATAAGGTGGGGCAAAAGTAGGTTTACAAGTGTTCATATGGAAAATAATACAATAATTAATAACAATTCAAGAATAATTTCTGTTTCATGTACTCACAATTGTAAACCTACTTTGCCCCACCCTGCATGTATTTTTCTTGTTCTGGAATTTGGGATGTCCCCTGCCACTTTTTTTTAAGGATTAAAGCCTTGCACCAATGTTTTAATTGACAAACAGTAAATAGTATTCCAGTGTGTGTATAGTTCATACATAATGTTGTATTTTGTATTATTACTGTATTATAAAATCTCAGTTTTTCAAGGTGCAGAAATCTCCAGCAGTTTGGAAAGGAGAGACTGGGTATCATGAGTCATCATCATGCATTTCCTGCATTTTCAGATACTCTCTTGAAGCTAGGACGTGTCTGTTTTTAGCAGATAATGTGTGATATGGGTGACTTTTTCTGAAGTGGTATTCAAAACACAGATTCAGCTAAAAGGTAGCATATACATCTTACCAAGTGTGACCTGGGTGAACTGTACCAAACACGAATGAAAGATCTCTAATTTTTTGGTGTGTTCAGTAGAATGGGGTTTTCCTTCTTATTCCTGAGCAATTTTTTACTTTCTCAGCATTAACTATTTCACAATGGTTTGACAAGTAATGCTATGACTTGACTTAAATATATTTGTCTTCTTTTTCAGGTAACATTTTTTTTTTAATTGAGGTAATTGTTTTCTTTCTCCTTCTGACAGAGATCTATTAGATCTTTTGCCAATGATGATCGCCATGTTATGGTGAAACACTCAACAATCTATCCATCTCCAGAGGAACTTGAAGCTGTTCAGAATATGGTGTCTACTGTTGAATGTGCTCTTAAACATGTCTCAGATTGGCTGGATGAAACAAACAAAGGCACAAAAACAGAGGGGGAGACAGAAGTGAAGAAGGATGAAGCCACAGACACCTATTCCAAGTGAGTGTGGCCTGACCTTTGCGGCACTTTGCTGTAGTACCCAGAAAAGCCCAGGGTCCGATCCCACTGGGTTACGTTTGGCATATGGTGTCCTTTGTGTTTTCTTATTTATATGATTGTAAATAAGGAAGTAAGTATTTGTGGAATTTTTCTGAGTTAAATTTGAAAGGAAAGCAAGAAAGGAGGAGTGATTAGACCAGAAAAAGAGGGACCTGTGCAGGATGCCTTTTGAGAGTGCACCAAGCCCTTTAAAATCATCTCTTTTTGGAGGTTATGATATGTCATCTTTTTCATGTTTTGATTCAGCCTTCTATATTCAGACATAAATTGTAGTGTTTTTTGTTTCTGGGAAGTCATAAAATGTGATTTTTTCAGGTATTTTAAAATCCTGGTATAGAAGAAAGATGCAGGAAAATGTATTTAAAGGTATTTTTAACTGTATCTACCATGTTGATTCCCAGTGTTTTCCATATAGTAAATGCTCATTGGATATTTGTAAAATGCAAGACCTACCAGGACCCAGACCCTTCAACAGTTATAGCAGAGTGCTGTAATTGTTGAAGTGCTGTAAATATAGTAAGAGATTAGTGAGATGAAGCTGATAACTGGAGTCAGATCATGGCATTTTAAAGTTATTGTTTTGAGCATTATTATGACTGAAATAAGTGTATGATTGACTTTGAAAGATGAAGCTAATTTAACTACTGTATTAACTGGGATTAAGACATTACTTTGGCTAAAACTTGTAAATTGAGGATAGAGGTTATAGAATTTTTTCCCAGCTTTAATTCTGAATCAATGTGATAAGTAGATAACAGTGGGAAAGTATTGATAAATTGAAAGCTAGTGTAACCTTTTCATTTTCAGATCAAAGATAATTAGTATCATATTTCAGTTGAACATAATTCCTTGACTTTGTTAACGGTTTACAGGTAATATGTACATTGTATCTAGTTGTAATATTGGCAGCAATTCAGTTTTTCTCACATATGATGGCTTTAAAAAAGTCACTCTAATTTGCGGTTCATGTTAATCTACAATAATAAAAGTGTAATATGCTAATTAGACCAGACGTCCTTCCGGATGTCCTTCCGGATGTCCTACCGTCCTTCCGGATGAAGTCGGGGCTACAAGGGAAGCCTGGGTCCTGGGTGCCTGCTGGTGGCTGGAGGGAAGCCCAGGTCCCAGGTGCCAGAGGGAAGCCGGTGCCTGCAGCCGGAGGAAGGAAGGCCTACTCTTGCACAAATTTTGTGCATCGGGCCTCTAGTCAGTAATATTATCTAACAATCTAGTTCTGTGTCTCCCAGTCCCTGTTCAAGTTAAATTCTCATGCACTTCATATTTGCATTGTACTTTGGAATGTGTTATGCCCTTTTAAACTTTTTTAAAATTGCAAAATATATAAGATAAAACTCACCATATTTACCACTTTTAAGTGGTTTCCTTTTTTAGTGGAGTTCATGCCTTCTTAACACATTGTTTGCGGGTAGTTTTTATTGCGTGCTAACAGGTGGCGCGGGCCATTTTTGCTAATTTTTTGCGCAAATGGCAACGTTCAGTAAAATTACGATAACTTTAGTTTACGTATTTATATGTTACCCACATTCTACCGCTAGTCTATAAAAAACGTATTAATACGTGTCCCGCGCTCTACTACACTGGTAGAACGTATAAATACGTAAAACATGTAAACACGTTTCCCGCATACAATGTGTTAATACATCTTCAGTTTGTTCTCATGGCTGGGTAGACTTTTGGAAAGTGTTCTAGTAAACTTTTGCTTACCTGGATTAGGTCACTGTGTTTTAAAGGGATGTGTTTAATGTTTTTATTGATTTTAGAGAAGAAGGGAGAGGGATAGAGAGATAGAAACATAGATGAGAGACATTGATCAGCTGTCTACAGGGGCTTGAGCCCACAACCCGGCCATGTGCCCTAATCAGGACTCGAACAAGGGACCTCTTGGTTCATGAGTAGATGCTCAACCACTGAGCCACACCAGCTGGACTGTTTAAAGGTTTTTAAAAGATAATGTGCTCCACGTGTGCTTCATTTGGATTTTTAAATATAGCTCCCTATGTTGATGCTCTAGATTATAAAGTCTTTCCATTTTGTGGACTAGTCACAGGTTGAACATTTGTCTGGGGTTCTTCCCACATGGTAGAACCCTAGTTGTGCAGAATGATTGTGTCCTTATTTGTATCAATCAGAGGCAGACACATCTCCCAAGAGCAAAGGTGTGTTTGATAATAGATGTGTATTGTGCTCCTGTTATATGTTGAGTAACACTACACAGGGCACAAGATGGGTGAGGGCTAGCTGATGGTTATTAAGAGCCTTCTCTTGTCAGGCAGTTTTTATTTTACCTTTTTACAAACAGACTCAAAGTCAAATTGCACAAGATCCCACTGTTTGTATTATTAGAAATACTAGAGTCCCAGTGCACAAAAATTTGTGCACTCGGGGGGAAGTGGGGGTTCCCTCAGCCCGGCCTGTGCCCTCTCGCAGTCTGGGACACCTCAGGAGATGACAACCTGCTGGCTTAGGCCTGCTCCCGGGTGGCACAGGGCAGGCCCAATCCCTAGGTGCAGCCCCTGGTCAGACTCAGAGCCGGGCTGATTGGGGAGTTGGGGCGCCGCCCCTGTCATGCACAGAGCAGGGTGGATCGGGAGGTTGCGATGCCACCCTCAGTCACACTCAGGGTAGGGCTGATTGGGGGGTTGGGGCACCGCCCCCTGTCACACTCAAGGCAGGGTTGATGGGCAGGTTGCGGCGCCACCCCCTGTTATGCACAGAGCAGGGCCAGTCGGGGTTGGGGCGCTGCCCCCTGTCACAGAGCAGGGCCCATCAGGGGGGTTGGGGCTCCGTACCCTGTCACGCACAGAGCAGGGTCGATCAGGGGGTTGGGGAGCTCCCCCCTGTCACGCACAGAGCAGAGCCCATCAGGGAGTTGGGGGACCCCCCCCCCCGTCACGCACAGAGCAGGGCCGATCAGGGGGTTGGGGAGCTCCCCACTGTCACTCACAGAGTAGGGCCGTTAGGGGAGTTGGGGCACCGCCCCCTGTCACACACAGAGCAGGGCGGATCAGGGGGTTGGGGCGCCGCACCCTGTCACACTCAGGGCAGGGCCGATGGGGAGGTTATGGCTCTACCCTGTCACACACAGAGCAGGGCCCCGGGGGGGGGGGGGGCGGCGGTGGGCGTTGGGGCGCTGCACCCTGTCACACACAGAGCAGGGCCGATCAGGGGGTTGGGGAGCTCCTCCCATCAGGCACAGAGCAGGGCTGATCAGGGGGTTGGAGCGCCTTCCCCTGTCACGAACAGAGCAGGGCAGATAGGGAGGTTGTGACCCCGCCCCCTGTCACACACACAGCTGCAGGGCAATCAGGGGGTTTGGGTGCTGCCCCCTGTCACGCTGATCCCGGTGCTGGGAGGCATATTACCCTTTTACTATATAGAGGCCTGGTGCATGGGTGGGAGCCGGCTGGTTTGCCCTGAAGGGTGTCCTGGATCATGGTGGCTGTCCCCACTGGGGTGCCTGGCCAGCCTGGATGAGGGGATGATGGCTGTTTGCAGCTGGTCACACACCCTTCAGGGTGGGGATCCCCACTGGGGTGCCTGGCCAGTCTGCGTGAGGGGCTGAGGGCTGTTTTCAGGCTGGCAGGTGACTGAAGCTCCCAACCACTCCTTTTTTTCTTTTTCTTTTTTTTTTTTTTTTAATTCTGGGCCAGCTTTAGCTCTGAGGCTCCAGCTCTTAGGCCTCCGCTGCTGAAAGCAGGTTTCTGGCCTTTGTTTACCTTCTGTATTTGAAACAATGTTGCGATCCTGCTGGCTGAAGCCCGGCGACTAAAGGAGGTTTTTGGGGTTTTGTTTAGCTTCTATATTTGTAACATAGTTGCTTAGAGTTGCAGGTCAGAGGCCGGCAGCGACAGGCGGGGAACGTTGGTTTCCTCCATCACTGAAGCAAGCAAGCCTCATGTTAGTTTCAAGCTGCCTGGCTGCCGGCCGCCATCTTGGCTGGCAATTAATTTGCATATCACCCTGATTAGCCAATGGGAAGGGTAGTGGTCGTGCGCTAATTACCATGTTTCTCTTTTATTAGATAGGATTAGGATTCTGTTCTTAAGCAATTTCCTGCATTTGGGTTGCTTGCTTTACAATACCTTCTGTATTCAAGTTCATTATTAACTTCAGTACTGAATTAGGACTTAGTTTTCCTGTTCAGTCATGCTGTCTTCTATATGAGAAGACCAAATATATCATAATTATTATATAGCATTTAATAAGTGAGGTAATAATGGCTCGTTAACAATAGCTACCATTGTATTGCATGCCAGTTACTGTACCAGATTATTTTCCACATTATTGTAAACCTGCTAGTCTCTGTTATTATTATACTCCTCCTCTGCCACCATTTCATTTATGATATTTTCACTGTTTCAGGTTTGATTACTAAAAACAAGTGACTCGGTATTGTTATCAAACTTTAACTTGCTTGAAGTCACTGAATGAGTGTGTGTGGTGTTGCCAGGATTCATACTTAAGTCTGTTGGACTCCAGATCCAGTCTTCTTAGCATCTTTGCCTCCATTTCCTGTGACTAAATGTGAAAGTACAGAGCAGGGAGAGATTATGTGCTGGTTCTGGGGATCAGAAAAAAACTTTGTGAAGGAAGTAGCATGCAGTAGGTTTAGAAGATGGGTGGGGATTTGGCTCAGGTAGTGAAAGTGGAAGAAAAAATAAATCTCAGCAAAATGTAGGTATGAGCGCCCAGCCGGTGTGGCTCAGTGGTTGAGCATTGACCTATGAACCAAGAGGTCACGGTTCAAATCCTGGTCAGGACACATACCCGGGTTGCAGGCTCAATCCCTAGTAGGGGGTGTGCAGGAAGCGGTCGATCAATGATTCTCACATAATTGCTGTTTTTATCTCTCTCCGTCTTCCTCTCTGAAATAAATAAAAATATATTTTAAAATAAAGATCTAGGTATGAGAAAGTGTAGGGACTGTTGAAGGATTAATAGCTATTTATTGAGCTATTAATATATGCCAGGCTCATTCATTACATTAAATTAAATATTTTCAGTACTGGTCTGAGAGGAAGGTATTATTTCCTTTTTGCAAATGAGAAAGTAAGCTCAAAAAGTCAAGTAACTTGTAATTTGTCCAGTGTTACAACGTAAGTAGCAGAGCCAGGATTCGAACCAGGTATTTACATGGTTTTTTAAATTGCCTCTCAATATGCTGTCAGTGTTCAGTGGGACACCAGGAAAGTAACAGGGAGAGTGCCATCATCTGTGCAGTGCTTTTGGAAATTTATTCTGGTTGCAGGATACAGTGTAGATTGGAGATGGCAGAGGTTAGTCAATCAGGGTAATGAAAGGTTATTGAGATAGTATAGGGGAGAGGTAGTAAGAGCCTGAAAAGAAACTAGTTTGAAGGCAATGGTTTGAGGGAGAATTTACAAACTATTATTAGATTTGGGAGAATGAATATGAGAGGACAGGGAGACAAAAAAAAAATCAAAGATGACTTCATTATTCTTTTTTTTCTTTTCTTTAAATCCTTACCCAAGGATGTGTTTTTTAAATTAATTTAGATAGAGAGGAAGGGGAGGGGAGGGACGGGGGGAGAGGGGAAAGAGAGAGGGAGAGAGGGAGAGAGGGAGGGAAACACCAGTGTGAAAGAGAAACATCCATCGATTGCTTCTTGTACTTACTCTGACCAGGTCTAGAACCTGCAACCTAGGAATGTGCCTGAACAGCTATCAAACCTACCACCTTTGGACAACACTCCAACCAACTGAGCCACCTGGCCAGGGCCTGACTGTTCTTTTTTTGTTGTAATTAATCCTCCCTCAAGGATATTTTTTCCATTGATTTTTCAGAGAGAGTGGAAGGAAGCATGGGGGCAGGGGGAGAAAAACATCAATGTATGGATTTGAGAGAGTCTCATTGATTGGTTGCCTCCCATATGAGTCCCGACTGACCAGGGCCAGGGATTGAACCTGCAACCCAGGTACGTACCCTTGACTGGAATCAAACCTGTGACCATTCAGTACATAGGCTGACACTCTAACCACTGACCCACACCGGTCAGGGCCTGACTGTTATTAATATTAAGTAATTCCCTACGCTTGGGTCACTTGCTTTAAAATGCTTTTTATTTTATTTTTTTCTATACTTGCCACCCTTAAAGTTTCTTTGTGATTTTTTTTATTGATTTACTATTTATGAATTTCTGAGGTGTGCCAGGTGCTGAACCAATGACTGGATTATTTATAATTTACTGTCTTGTTTCAATGATCACAATTTGTTTCCTTTCTCCTTTTTCCAGTTCATTCTGTACTCTGCTGACTTTTGCCCAACTCTGCTGATTCTTTGCCTCTAGCTAGAATGACTTTTTAACCAAATCAAGACTGGGCTGAAGTCAGACTTTCAGGTTGCTTTGCTTAACCTTTTAAATTTTGACCTCTCCTTTTTCTGTACTTGGGATGCGACTATAATTAAAAAAACACCCTGAGTGTTGTGATCAAACCGACTTGAGTTTGAATCCAGGCTTTGCCATTTTACTCTCACTGTGAACCTGAACAATTAATCAGCTTGTCTGAGATTCACAATTTTTTGTTTTTCAAATGCAGGCTTGTTTGAGGTATAAATGAGAATTGTGATATGCAGTTTGTTCTCGGTTGTTACTTTTTCTTCCCCTTTTAAGCAGGTTACTGCTTTTGTACTTACACAGTGTAAGCCTCAGGAGCAGGAGTGATTGGATCTCCTTTGAGTATGTTTTCCATACTCAAACATTTGCTTACTTGTTGAATGACTGGCTCAGCTTAGTTATAGTTTCATGTGTGATTAAGGAAAATGAACCCCTAAAAAACTTAAAATCAAGGGTAGTTACTAACATTCTTTGCACCACTCTCAACTTGATGTTCTTTGAGTATTTGTTCTTTTTTTTACTGCTGGATTCGAAATGCATATCCTGGCAAATTATCTTTTGGTCTGTTTTTTCCTCAGCCCTTTGCTTTTATCACATTAAACTGCTTTCTCCATAAACCTGTGGATTCCTAGAATGATAACAACTAGAAGGGATGAGCTAAGACTCATCTAGCCGATAGCCATTTGACAGTTGTGGATACTGAACCAGCAGGCATCACTAGGAGTAGAGTTCTGGACTTTTAGATTTCCATCCTGATGCTTTCTCAGTATCCCATGGTGCTCATGTTCCTCACAAATTCTTTAATTACCAATAAAAAGATAATAGGAAGAATTTTTTAATTTGAAGAAGTGTTTAAGATCGAGATGCAGTATTTTGTATTTTCCTGAGCAATATAGATGTGATGAAAAATTTTTAAATCTTTTGTCTGAAATATGCTTCCTAATGATTTCTTGGGGAAGGTTGATACTATATGAGCCTTAAATTGCAGACTTAATTTTATGGAATTTCGGATATCTGGATTTATATACTCCCTTTCACATGGATAGCCAGAAAACCAAGTAATGATTAAGTTTTAGTCAGGAAATAGGTTGTAAAAATAATCATTCAGACTTTTATTTTTAGGGATCAAGGTGGTCGGACATTGTGTGGTGTAATGAGAATTGGCCTGGTTGCAAAAGGCTTGCTGATTAAAGATGATATGGACTTGGAGCTGGTTTTAATGTGCAAAGATAAACCCACAGAGACCCTGTTAAATACAGTCAAAGATAATCTTCCTATTCAGATTCAGGTGAGTACAGTTTAATTGCACCTCTAGGATAATTTGTAAAAAGGTGAAAATAGGTAGTGACCTTGAATTCAATAACAAGAAATCGGTAATAGTAAAGGGTACAAACAAAAGGAATGATGCTTCTCTGGATCAATGACTCATCCATCCCATATAAAGCAAATTTCTGGTGATGGGTGATGAGTACTCTGGATACATGTATCAAGTTAAGGTGGCTGTTAAGGTACAATCTTAAATTTTTCAGGTGTGTCTTGTTAAGAACCTTCCTGTTGTACAGACCAGGTCTCTCAGCATTGTGAAACTCTTGGAAGGGTTAGTATATTGCAGAAAAGAATTGAAAGATAAAGAAGAGCTGAGGCAACTGGAGATTTGCATAGATGGTAATATTTAATATCGAAGACTCAGTTAATTTAACAGTCACCCACTCATACTTTTAATGCAAAGTCACTGTTAATTTCTTGTTTCCAAACCTTTTTTACCTGGTGATGCATTTAGAAAATTTTAATGTTAGCATACTTCCTGGAGGATGCTGCTGAAGACTGAAAGCTCCCCAGGGCTGAAGGCAACCCTAGGACCACGCTGCTACCTACTCTGAGGACCAGTGCATCACTAATTGGGAAGCCATGATCACTTTTCAGTTTCAGATATGTTATTGTGGTATTATTAGATTGTGGCTTTTTGATGATTCCATATCAGTTAGTCCTTATATCCATGTCAAATAAATAGATAGCAGTCTATGAGGTACAAACTTTGAGTTGTTGAATGTTCTCTTCGTTGTTTTTTACTAGTAATTTATATTTCTTCTAAAAAGCCGCCCCCCCCCCCCCCCTTTAAGTAATAGGAATTTTAAGCTTGCTTTTTAATTGGCTTTGTTAGTAGATCACTTTCTTTCATTTTCACCAACTAGTTGTCAAAACCATCTTTCTGGCTTTTTAATCTAGCATTCTTAACAGTCAAATTGTATTACTTGTTGACATATTCCCCTGTATTAATTTTTGGAGCATCTGCTTTATCATTCTTAGATCTTAACATGATTTTTCAAGTGACTGTATAAACATTTGGCTTTTCCATTTTTGATTCTGATGAAATGTTTTTGGTCTTTTTAGGGTTAAATTTATTTCTTTAAAAAATTTTTTTAAAGCCCTTTGTGATCATTTGGAGACGGAAAGTGGCAAGCAACATGAAATACATAAAGTTTTAAGAAACAGAAAGCCCAATAACGGGTTTCTGGCTAACTATACTTTTTGTCATTAGAATGTTAATAAAATTCCTCTTGTTTCTGTTATTTTTTATATTGCTTTAAAATTTAATCTATATTTCTGCTTTTAGTATGGTAAATATTGTACACTTAAATCTATAATAAAGTAATAATAAAATGGGTGGCTATATTAAAGGCTTTTTCAGCCATTTCATCCCCCTTTCTGTTTCCTTTAGTGAGTCCTGTTTGTTATGAGAATGGTCATATTCCTCATGTGTTAGGGTGGAAAAAGATTTGAGAAACCAGTGTTGTAATAAATCAGAGTTCTTATTCTGAAAGTCTATCACATTTTTCTGGTATTGAAGATACAGGAGATTGGGCCAAGCTTCAGTTTGCATTAATAGAGCTTTCTCTGTGCAGACCACAACTGTGTGAACAGCAGTTTTTCCCTTTCCTGAGGGGTGTGTGTGTGTGTCTTTATTTCTGGGCACCACAGTTTTAAAATGCTCTTCTTGAGCTAGCAAGTGTTCAAGCGGGGGAGCAAGAGAGAGGGCAGGCTGTGTAAACCAGTTCAGATTTAAAGTGATTGGGGCTTTTTAGTCAAGAGAAGACTAAACAAGACTCAAATAGCTTTAGGTCTATGAAGGGCTTCTTGGAGAAGGTTAAAAGAGGCCTGAACTATGAAGACCAATAATGAAAATTATGAGAAACATTTCAATTTAATATAGCCAATGAAGCTATCCAATGGTGAAACCAGCTGCTTTGTGTGATGGTTAGATCCATTACTATAGGTGCTGGGTAAAGGTACCCACATAAAATGGTGATGTTAATTGTACTTCCCTCTCATTAGATTGTATACATGTTCACACACATGTGCCCAAATATATACATATAAGTTACACACACATTATTATTACTATTACTAATAATGTTTCAGAAAATCATTTTAAGGATGATTTCTACTTTTACTCCCTGCTTCCCCCTTGTTTTTTTGGTATTTGTGTTGAAAACCAATTTCTTATCATCTTATTTTTTTATGAGTTTAAAAATCTTTTTCTTATTTTAAGCACTTACCATAGTAAAACTTCCAGTTAGCTAAGTACCTTAATTAATTGAGGTTGTACTATACCTTTTCTCTCCATATTTTTTTCCTAAGGTGATTTTTTTTTAATGTATTTTATTGATTTTTACAGAGAGGAAGGGAGAGGGATAGAGAGTTAGAAACATCGATGAGGGAGAAACATCGATCAGCTGCCTCCTGCACACTCCCCACTGGGGATGTGCCCGCAACCAAGGTACATGCCCTTGACCGGAATCGAACCCGGGACCCTTGAGTCCGCAGGCCAATGCTCTATCCACCGAGCCAAACCGGTTAGGGCTTCCTAAGGTGATTTTAAAACTTACATGAGCAAGAAGGGAGACCTAAACCAGAAATCACTTATAATTAGTCTAATGCAAGGGTGGGGAACCTTTTTTTCTGCCAAAGGCCATTTGGATAGTTATAACATCATCCACAGGCCATACAAAATTATCAGCTTAAAAATTAGCTGCTATATTTGGTCAAACATTTAATTAACTCGCCCCTAATGCCTTGGCAGGGCCTGACCAAATGATTTCTCAGGCCTTACACGGCCCCTCGGGCTGGACATTCTCCACCCCTGGTCTAGTCCAGAACTTAATACCGTATGCTTATTACTTTGGATCTGTCTTATGGTGATCTGCATGAATAATTGAAAAATTTAGTTTGACTCATTCTCTGATGGACATCTTTAATGTTCTTATAGTGGCAAAATGAATGTGAGCAGTTTTCTGTTTTTTCTTTATATTCTAGTTCTGTTTTTTCCAGTTACTCTGTGGCCTTGCCCTTCCTTGGCTTCCTCTATTCAAAAGTAGATAATGAGTTTTCTATTTTCTATCTTTTTTTGAAATGTTTAATGATAAAATGCTATTTTTATGTAAATGACTCTGAGTTCTTTTAATGTGCAGTGATGAGCAGAAACCCAGTAGTGTTTTCATTTACCTATTTATATCAGATAATAGGTACTAAATTTTGACCTCCAAGAAAGGCCTTGTGTAATTAATATGTGTGTGTGTGTGTGTGTGTGTGTGTGTGTGTGTGTGTGTGATAATACATTAAATACAACTTATGTGATTCTAATTGGTGATTATTTTGTGGGAGGTTCTTAAATTGCATATAGTTGTATATTGAAAGAAGTAGTATACATTTATTTCCCTGTGGGTGTCAGATAACTTGTCCCATAGTGATGGGCCTCACTGGAATGATCTCTGAGACCTATAGTTAGAGAAGGGAAGTTACTTGTTTATACTATTTTTTGTTGTTGCTGTTGGTTAGTGACTGTAGAGATTCTTTCTTATTCATTCTTGTTTCTCTTTAGAAATCTATATAATCGTATATAAAAGTCTACATAATCTTAAATTTGTAAGTCCTTGGTAAGTAGGAGTTCCTTTTTAGGCTCTTATCAAAAAAAAGAATTGGTTTAGAGAGCATTCCCAGCGATTTATTTTTCTACAATAGTTCTCTGTAATAATGTAAAAAACCAGTAATTTACTGTTTATAATATAATGATGCTGTTGCTATTTTACATTCAAATATTACAAAGAATGAATTGAAATACTGTTTATAATTGTATAGAGAGTTGACATTGTGGTTGCTTTTTGAGGGATGGAGAAAGGATTTGCTGATAACTTGGAAGGAGAGAGAAATGTTATCCCTAAAGAACTAGTTAAAGACTTTATTCACTCTCTTGACATAGTCTTACTAGTAGTTAATAACACTTGGAAACTAAGGGACAATCATTCATTTTTTGAAAATTTAATCTAATTAATTGGATGTTTTGAAATCTTGGTGACTTTCAGAAACTCACAGAAGAGAAATATGAAGTGGAACAATGTGTAGATGAGGCATCTATTATAATTCGGAATACAAAAGAGCCCACGCTAACTTTGAAGGTGATACTTACTTCCCCTCTAATTAGGGATGAATTGGAGAAAAAGGATGGAGGTACATACACATATATTTTTATTTTGTTTTGTTCATGAAAGACCTCTTTAGTGCTATGTTAACTATGCTTTATAGATTTATGAAATAACTGTCTTCATTTGTTTATGCCAGTCATAGTATTTTAAACAGCTTTGTTTCTACATAAATCACTATTTTGCAAAAATGTATATATTTGAAATATAAAATATGTTAATTGAGAAACTTGTGCTTACCATGTTGGTCATAACTAATTTTATACTCTTTTGGCGTTATGGTATTGCATTGTTATTGCTGTCATTCAACCTATTCGGTAGAGTTGGCTATTAGGTCTGACTCTAGGATTAAATGTGGACCAAACAATATTTTCATATTTATTCAGTTGTTAAAATTACTCATTTGTACATTGCTCTTGACTTCTATTAACTATATATAACCTTACAAGATTTATGCTTTACCTAATTGCCCATATGTAAATATGTTTTATAATGTAAGATATAAATTGGGGGATTGAATTTTTAAAATTAACCTTTAGTAAGTTTTTTTCCTAGGAGGTTTGTGATCCTGTTAACATTTTGATTATGATGTATGTGGGAATCATGCCTTAAACTTTCTTCTGAAGTTAAAAAAAATTCCTGTATGGCAGTGTCATCCTTGTAAAAGTAGAGTGAGAAACCTATTCAGTTTTGAGAAGTAATGATGGAGCCGAACTTCTTTTTCTGGTGTTTTTATTCTGTCAAGTTAGCTTGTTTCCGCCTCTCAGTTCTGTCCCTACAAACTTGACCTGTGATATTTCTCCTGTGTCAGACCTTTGACCAACCGCCCTCTCTCTGTCATGACAATTTAGAGGCAGTCCAGCCTGTCTGGGCCAATGGAGACTTTCTATTGCTCCTTTTCATCACTAGACATTTAACAAGTCCCATTGCTTACTCCCCTACCTGAAATGCCAGTGCAGTAAGAAATATTGGTCAGTTTCTTAATTAATTTCAAGTTGACAATAAAGGTAGACAAAGACATTTACCAGTCATGTTAGAACTTTGAGTTTTGGCAGACATGTGATAGACTCCTTTTAAAAAGCTTTTGGGGTAACTAAAATCAGCTATACAAACCCAACAATCTAAACTAGATACATTTATGAGTTATAGTTTAAATTTAAAGTGCATCCAATCTATAATTGGGTTTATGCATGTACTGGTTTTTTTTTTGCTATATATAGTGTCTCTAACACCTCTGAAGAACCAATCTTAAATGGCTTAATTTCTTTAACAGCTTTTCAGTTCACCATTAACTGTAGAACTATAAAATGATTTCTGAAGTATCAAGATAATTCTGTTAATTCTGGTAAGCTGTGTTCTACTTGACACCCCTAGTGTAAAACTAACCATTTTTAAGTAGAGTTATAATTATAGGTATTCTTAAAAATTATTTGAGTATAGAGAGATGAGAACAAGATTGCAGTTGCCAACGACGATATTAATTCTATGTTTGCTTGTAGCTGTAGGCGTCCCTTCCATTACCTGTTTGAAAATATTAAGACAACATCAGACTTCTTTTTTCCCATGGTTTTGTGTTCTTACATGGGGTTTTGTCATAGTTTTCAGTGATACCCTTAAGCTTAGTCTGTTGTTTTTATTTTTTTAATTTCTGTTTGGGGAAACTGAAAACAGATTCTTGTATTGCATCCTCACTAGAAGACTAGTTATGGGATGGAACTTGTGGTAAAATAGGAGAGTCAGTGTTTGTTCAAGATGTTTGGGTTACTGAAGGATCCCAAGACCTTTTAAGGGCTGACTTCCATTAGTTTGTGTTAACATAGTTGGTGTGGGATCAGGGAAAGTGAAAGAATCAGCTTGGCTCGGATGTTTTATACATGCTACTTCCTCTTCTTTTGAATGGCAGGAAGATTTGCTTTGCTGTTGTCCTCAACCTCCCAGCCCTTTTGACTCACTTGTTATCTCTTCCAGTTTGCTTGTTTTGTTTAACCTGGGTTTTGTCAAAGACAGTTTTTTTTTCCTCATGTGTGCTAGAAGTTTTGTGTATTCCTTGGAAAATTTGAGGATCCGGCATAACTGAGTATTTGACACCTAGACTGTAGGTCTTGATTCCTTACACTAGACAGCTCCTCCCTCTGATGGAGGTCTTCCCAGCTGTAGGGGGCGAAAGCACAAGATTATTAGGGTTCCAGGAATTTCTAAGGCTGATAACTTTCCCTTTAAAAATAATCTGCACTTGTTTTCTTTCTCAAAGTTAAAAGTACATGGAACATATTTCAAAGAGTATTTTTCTGTAGAATCTCAACTTCTCCCCTTCCCACAAAACAGACTATATACTGGTACATATTTGGGTAAAATCTAAAAAAGGGGATAAAGTGTGGTTGAGAGCAGAGAGAACTGGAAAACTGGGACAACTGAGGGCATTACACTTGACCTCCTTAGGTCCACTTCTTTACCTATTTCAGGTCACTACTTACATTTCCATATTCTAACCCTTTACCTGAAGGTCCTATAGAATAACCCTTCCCCTTTACTACATGCTTCCTGCTAAAATAAAAAGCACAGACCTTGGTGTCTGGCAGTCAGTTGTTCAATTCTTAATTCCATTCGTTACTATTTCTGTGTGACCTTGGGGCAGATTTCTTAATTTAAAAATGTGGATAATAAATACTTCAGAAAGTTGTTTGAGGTTAATGAAAGGAGTTCATGTAATGTGACCTATACAATACTCAGCACAAAGTAGTTGCTCAGTAAATAGTGGTAGCTTATGAAAAAGATTCATAACACAAGCTTACTTACTCAAACTGCCGTGAGCTCACAGTGATAATGTGTACATAATGGGTCTGAAGAACTGAACCTAAAGCCCCATTGAAGTGCAGCATTAGAATTGGTAATTTGTACTTGCTACAGTGCTAATGGCTTGCGTATTATATAGCTTATGATTCATTGAGGGCAGGTATCTTTTTCTCTACCCTGATCCTGTCCCTCTAGCACCTAAGATGGTACCTAATACATAGTAGGCAATTTAAGAAAATCTGTCCGATGAATTTTTGTAGCCAGCATATTGTTTGATTAAATAGGACTGTCTAGTACAGTGGTTCTCAACCTTCTGGCCCTTTAAATACAGTTCCTCATATTGTGACCCAACCATAAAATTATTTTCGTTGCTACTTCATAACTGTAATGTTGCTACTGTTATGAATCATAATGTAAATATCTGATATGCAGGATGGTCTTAGGCGACCCCTGAAAGGGTCGTTCAACTGCCAAAGGGGTCGTGACCCACAGGTTGAGAACTGCTGGTCTAGTATGTAAGAAGCATTAACATTGGGCATGTCAGAATTCAAGCTCTGTCAGGGTATAAAATAACTTACTGTTTTATTAGCAGTTTTTCATATGACTCATTTTAACCGTCAGAACAGCCCTCTTGGGTAGATAATTGCCCTGTTTTATAAATGAGAAAGTATCACATTGGACCCAGCTCTTATAAGTCCATTGTGCTGTCCACGCTCCCATTGCTGTCAAGGATGAGTGTAGGAGCGTCTTAGCTGATTGGGTTATTCTGAGCTTCATACAGCCTCAGCTTCTTTTGGTGTTTGTGATTTTAAACAAGCAGTTTGTTTGCTATGAGGGTAATAAATCAGCTGTTTATTCTATTTACAATGCAGTTTGAAACCAGGTGAACAGGGAAACGACAGAGTTGTGTGGCTTAAGTTAAGACAACCCCCTGCTCTTGGTATTGGGGAGGTTTTTAAGGGCTCACAGAGAGGTTGCCCAAGAGTCCCTTTTCACATATCAGCGCCAGTGTAAACTTCCGGTGCATCTTGACAAACGTTCACTGGCATACATCCTGCTAGGTGAAGGTACTAGATTCTTATAATCTAGAAATCACACCTGGGATTATTATGATACTGCAGGCTTTCTTTTCCTGCCTTTTCCAGTTGTTAGATCTAAAATCCGGTGCAAACTTAGAGCCGTTACCTTTCCAGTGGCCAACTGTCTATTAAGGCATTGAAAAAAAAGTTATATCGAGTGACATTTCTACCAGAAATTAGGAAAACAGTCTCTCTGATCTCCCTTAGTGCTGCGTTTACCTGTGTACTTTATTGTGGCCTGATGTTTTGCATGGATAGCGGTTTGAAGCATAATGTCTGCTCTCCACAGAGCCTCAAGGAATTGAGAGAAGGGGCTGCTAGCATATTTTCAGGCTAACCAGAACATTCTATCGGCACGTACTCAGTAGCTCAGCTTCACCCATATTGTCAAGGAGGCCTTCATGACGACCCAGCTCAATTATTTCACCTTTGAAGAGCCCAGGTTCCAGACATATGACTCCTGTTTACAGTCATGTTCTGGCTTTTCTCTATCCAGTGTCCAGGCTAGTGTTTTTGTTAATGGGAAGAGAGTTAGCATGCATGTATGAATTGAGAGAAACTGACCAACATTTCCTGTAGTACGGTGTGTTTCTGGTCACTGATCTAACCTCTAACCAAAATAAAGTTCGGCACAGTAGGGTTCTTTTCCAGTGCTTCCATTGTTCAGAATGCTTTATGTAGCTTCATGCCCTGATGCCAGGTTACTGAGCAATAAATCTTTACAAGCTGTTTGTTTTTTTGTGTATGTGTTTTTTTTATGGTTTTGGGGGGCATTTTTGTCACTCCCCATGCCCATTCCCCATACTATTTCTTTTCTTTCTTTCTTTTTCTTTTTTTTATAAATTCCAATTGTATTCTTAATTAGTTTTACTGATCAATGTAGGAAAAAATGAAATGTCTCAGAGTTCCATTGTTTCTAATTTAAAGACTCCAAGTTGCCTTTTATCAGAAAAGCTTTGCTTCCCCACAAAAATGAAACACTTATATTGAAGTGTGTTAAAAAATGTTAAACTTGAAGTTCTGCTATTAGAAGTAGTGGTGTTTTTCCAGCAGCAATTCTATGATTGCCACATTAAGTAATTTATTTTTCTCAATGAATGAAAATATATAAAACTATATGTTATTCATATATAAAGGAAATAGGAAAGCAGGGCTTACAGGTACTGGTTACCATATGAATGAATTCACATGGTTTTAAAATAAGAAACTTTAAGGAAGATAACATTAGATGAATTTCCTCTACTGTGTCCCACCTCATGAATATTGAAACATTTTGGATCTTTTGACATTTTGACTATCAGAGCAGGAAGAAACATAGCCATTCTGATGGTGATGTGAATGGGAATCTTGTGCAAGTCTTCTGTTCACTGCCTGCCCCTCCATCTTGTCTTAGTGGAAACTGTTGCCTCCAAATGTTGACTGTCTGTAGCAAGCTGATGCCTCTGTTGTTGTTTTTTTTAAATAAGAGTTTGTGGTTGTAATCTGACTTTGGAGATGAAATAATTTATCTTCATATTTTTGCCATTGTTGCCCTTTAAAAATATGTTTTGTAATGAGCATGAGATGTTATTTACAAGTTCTGACCATTGGATGAAAGTACCAGAAAGTTTTAAAGGGTTTTGGTTTGCCTTGTCTTTTCCTATCCAAACTTCCTCTGCCTCCCTTCTCTCTTGCATTACCTCGTCCCCCTTCCCAACTCCTACTTGTAAGATGATAGACTAAATCGAAGCCTGCCTCATTCTTAGAGATTGAGATTTTAAAAAATAAGTACAGCCCATACCTCCTTTGGGGATTACGTTACTTAGCACTCAGTCAACCTTTGTCATGTCTATCTTTTAAGATATTCTAATCATTCATTTATAGTAGTTTGTTTGATCTGGTATGTGAGCTTTATGCAGATGCTTGCATTGACCACAGTTAAACATTTCGACATAACATTAAAATGAGTTAATTGTATGTTTGTGTCATTATAAAGACAAAATTGAGCAAGTCCAGGAACGAGGTCACCTATGAAGTGAAAATCCATAGTATATTTGCTTATGGTTATAAATGAATCCACATTTATACTTTTTGAGGCTGCCCAATTTTTTAATAAAAGGGGGTAGTGAAATGAGGCCCTGTGTTGTGAATTTGTTGGCAGAAGTTAATGTGAATCAATGCAAATATCTGGTGTAGAGCTCACCGGGTCAGAAAATAAGTGTGTAGCACTTCAGCCTTTAGAATATTGCAACCTATAGAATAGCGGTCAACAACCTTTCAGACCTCATGGACCACCAGTGGTCCGCGGACCACCGGTTGGTGACCACTGCTATAGAAAACCCCAATTCTTCCTCTGAAAGATTTGTTTTCTGCTGGGCATTACGCCTTCAGTTTTAGTTAATGGCAGGCTACCAATTAGAATATATGTCATAATGGAATCCTGTAAATGAGGAAACCAAAAATTATCAGTTATCTGCCTCTTATTTAAAAATATTTACATTGTATCAATTAGCCCACACAGCATACTACCAATTCTCATTATTATGATAATGCTAGGAAGAAGTATTGGTGGATTTTCCTACATCTAAAAGTTCTTAAAGGAGAATGGTGAATCTGACTTCATTGGGCTAGACAAAATTTCTCCCCAAGAAACATTTGTAGTTTTTGTTTGCATTTAAATAATGCACCAAGTCTTCAAAAAGTGAAATCCCACTCAGTAATCGCTTAGAGGGAATATATTTGGCTCTTAAACTTGGATTTAGTATCATATGACATTTTTCTCAAGTGTGGATATTTTTCATTAATCACATGTTTGAATTCTTAATTTTGCTGCTTTGGCCCTCTAATCCAAATTTAAAATGTTAAGGCAAGTCAAATAGCTGTAATTAGATAGTATTCTTTGCTGCCTTTAAAAATTTTATATAATTTAGAATTGAAATATATTTCAGTGTTTTTCATTTTTGTAGTTTTGATAATTTTGGCTTAGAAAAGAAATAATGAGGGAACTCCAGTGTGACCCTTGAACAGTTTTCATCAATGGGGTAAAGTTTCTGTTAATGGCTATCTTGTTGGATAAGTTTATTTAGTTGTAAAAAAGTAAAATTGCTATACGCAGTGTATTCGTAGTATATCTCAAATTGATTTTATAAAAGAGCCCCAGTTTTCCTTAAGAATTGATTAAGATTCCTTCTATAAAAAATAGTTATGATTACTATTAGTCCCAGATTTGCACTGTTTGCACCCAGCCAAAGGAACAAGTGCTATGTACCTATTTTGTGCCCTTTGATGTTATATGTGCTTAATAAGATCCCAGATTGTATGTAGCAGTGATCATTGATTTGTTTATTGACTGAATGCCTTTGTGCTCCTGTTTACTTGTGCACAGAATGGCTCTGATGACTTTTTACTTAAGTAATCATAGTGCATGTAACTTTAAAAAAACAACAACTAAACCAAATCATGAAATCTTCTGGGAGTCTTATTAGTTAACTCAAATGCCGCTCTTTTAAAAAAATTTTATTGTTTGGTAATTTGACAGGAACTCCTTGGTCAAATTGTATGTGTCTCTCTCTATCCCATTTTTCCATTAGAAAAGGTTGCGATGAAAGATCCTCCAGACTTATTGGACAGGCAGAAATGCCTGAACGCCTTGGCGTCTCTTCGACATGCCAAATGGTTTCAGGTTGGCTCTTTGTTTTTATCTTACTGTTGATATAGCCTTGCATAGGTTTCATACTTGCCACTTAATGATTTCTGTGTAAATTATAACGTGGGGTACTCTACCTTATAGGGTCATAAGAGTAAATGAGTTAATTTAGGTAAAATGCCTAGTATGGCTTCTATATAGGTGATGTTTAATTATAATATAATCCTTTTCAGCTTAGCACGCTGAATTTCAAATGGTGGCTTATAAAATACAAACATGGGCGAGAAAAGTGAAAACTTTAGTGGCCCAGAATGGTGTGTTGTCATGAGGCTATAAAAGCAATTTTAATAGTATGCTTCCTTTACTTTAAAACCTGCTGTTCTGAATTATAATTTTACTTTATTTTTTAAATTTGTTTGACAACTGATTATGATTGACTAATTAGTATTCACTTTAAAGAGCCTATCCATGATCAGTGTGCTTAAATGAATGGATTTCAACAAGGATATTGGAATCACTTTGTTTGTTTTAGGCAAGGGCAAATGGATTAAAATCGTGTGTCATTGTCCTTCGTATTCTGCGTGATTTGTGCAACAGAGTCCCCACATGGGCACCATTAAAAGGATGGGTAAGTACTTAAATACAGTTAAAAAGCAAATTCTGAAGTAAAGTCAGAGAAATTCCTGTAGAAATTACATATTACTATGAAATAGCTATATTCTGAGTTAGCTGAGGTATGCATTGCCTATTTTTGTTTTGGAAAAAAATTATGCACCTTTTCATATGAATTCGTTTTTATGTATGTAACATCTCTCTTTTACCTTATCATATAATTCATGTTACAGAGCCTGAGATTTTTTTCTTTCACAAAAAGCCTCTATATCTTTTAGAAGTGAATGTCTTTCTGCACTTTGCTCTGCACTATTCACTACTGCCCATGAAAGCTCCTTGACTGGCACATTGCTCTTTCAGTGCTGCTTCCATTTAAAAAAAAAATTTATATATATATATATAGATTTCAGAGAGGAAGGGAGAGGGAGAGAGAGATAGAAATGTCAGTGATGAGAGAGAATCATTGATGGGCTGCTTCCTGCACGCTCCCTATTGGGGATCGAGCCCACAAACCAGACATGTGCCCTGACCAGGAATCAAATTGTGACCTCATGGTGCATGGGTCAACACTCAACCACTGAGCAACACTGGCCGGATTAAAGGGTCATTTTAAATTAGTCTAGCAATTATAACTTTCATATAGTATCATCAGTTTTTAATTTATTAAATATAGAGATTTGGTCCTTCATTTATTCTAATTGTAGTACTTGAGGCAGACTGTCTGAAATGAAGTCTTATTGTGGTTTTAGTGTTTCCTAGGTTATGTGGGAGATAGGGTTGGGTTTGAATATTGATTAGTTATTAGCTATTACTAACTTATATGAAGGCTTGTTATATTTTTATTAAATCAGTTAAGTGACCACAATTTCTTAAGTGATCTTTTCAGGGTAACTCAAGTTTTATAACAAAATGTCTTCTGAATATATTATCTCAAAAATGGTAGATTTAAAAACACTAGCTGGGTTAAAGGTTAATAAACAAAGGGGAAAAGTTAATTGAGTCCTAAATCATAAATGGACTTTCATGGTTTTGGCCTTCATTGTAGATAGAAATGTCAGCTCACATTTAACTGGAATCCTTTTAACACTTGATGCATGTACTAATTTGTAATTTAATATCTTCTAGCCACTAGAGCTTATATGTGAAAAGTCTATAGGTACTTGTAATAGACCTTTGGGCGCTGGGGAGGCCTTGAGACGAGTAATGGAGTGTTTGGCATCTGGAATACTACTTCCTGGTAAGGGTTTCAAACTCTGGAGGCAGAAGAATCAGAAAAATCACATTTTGGTTTATTTTTCTAAATCCTTATTAAATTTATCCTCTGCACCAGAAAGTGATATGTAGGAGTTGTTTTACTTGGAATTTTAGCAAATAGGAAAGTAGGATATCTGTATGTTGAAATATAAAACTCTGTTTCAATAAATGTAATTTACGTTTTATATATACTAACATAAATGGTACTAATAAGATACTGTGTCTGCTATGAATTTGCTTTACCTTGAGCTCTGAATTTGAAAATGCAGATGTTTGGTTAAAATGTAATAAGTTCACTCTGTTTGCACTCTGGTGTTTAATTTGGAAACATTAAATTTGGTTTTATTTTCTATATGTAATCCCTTTAAAGATTTGGGATGATTTATCATGCTGTGTCTAAATTCTCAGAGTAAGACCAAATGTTGACCTTAGATATATGTGACTTCCAGTAAAATGAGGACATTTAGGTGCTAACATATTGAAAATGAGAGTGTCCTTTGTACTCCATTTAATTAAGCAGATGTAGTTTCTCAGTTTTTCCCCCTCTATTCCCTTTTTCTCTGTTAGTTTATTGAATTCTAAACTCAGTTCTAAGTGGTACTTGTGTCTTTCTTTTGCCTTTGCCAAAGGGGGTCCTGGTCTTCATGATCCTTGTGAGCGAGACCCAACAGATGCTCTGAGCTATATGACCATCCAGCAAAAAGAAGATATTACCCATAGTGCCCAGGTAGAAGATGGGGCACATCACTGTGATCTATTAGAGGGATATCATCACTTTAGTTTCTGAGCTTTTCTATTTAAACACTATTTTCTTGCCTATTGTTAAGGGAACGTTTCCATCATAACTTTAGTGTTAAATGCATAGTCTTTTTAGCTAGATGTTCTATGGCTTTATAAAAGGGCTTTATAAATGGCTGTTGAAATGTGAATAACTATAATCTTTTGTTCTTCAGCATGCACTGAGACTGTCAGCCTTTGGCCAGATTTATAAAGTGCTGGAGATGGACCCCCTTCCGTCTAGTAAGCCTTTTCAAAAATACTCCTGGTCAGTTACTGATAAAGAAGGTGAGTATAAAAGTGTTTTTATTGGTGTTGGGCATGGGCAGTGGTAGAGATGATTATGGGGTGCATGTCTTATTAGAGGTGAGGGAATTTAATAATTGTTGATGTTAACTAGACTTATTGTGGGATCATTTCACAGTATAGACAAATGTGGAATTATTATATTGAACACCTGAACCTAATATAATGTCTCAATTATACCCTAATTTAAACAAATTGTTAATCCAAGTCATGCATAAGGATTTTTATTGCTTTCCCCCCCTGACTTTCTGCTTTTCTGTCCCATCAATGACATCAGCTTGCTATTATTTACTCTTATTAGTGATGAACTCAGTTGACCAAGTTGGCCAGATTCCATTACTGCATAGATATAGGGACCATACTTTGAGAATCTCTGGTCTAAGAGAAGAGGTAAGCCATAAACTAGGAGATGATGTTATCGCTGTACTTGGAACTGTTACATAACCAAGAAAGAGAAAACAAATATAAAGGAAAAGTATATTGAAAAATCTAGGAGTATCTTCCATTTGTACTAGTCTGTTTCAGTGGAAAGAGCATAGATTTTGGGGTCAGTATTGCTTGGGTTCTAGTCATAGCCCCACTCTTTACTAGCTTTAGGTCTTGAGCAATGAGTTTGCTTTTGTCCTAGGGATGTTACCCTGCTTTATTGGCTATGGACAGATTAAGATGCCTGACTCAGTTCCTCGAATACAGCAGACTCAAATATGAATCCACTTACTCTCCTCATTATGCCCAAAAAAATATCCCCCCCCCCTTTATCTCCTGTTATACTAGAAGGTAGGATGTTTAACACCAGTTATTCCTCACCAGACTACCAGCCCTTGACCTCAGACCCAGTTTCCTCAGTTTTCCACCCAGATGTCTAACAGCCATCTCAAACTTAAGATGTCTAAAATCCAAAAATCTGTCCTTATGCTACCCCTGATCTGCTCTTTTCAGTCACTGGAAACTCTATCCTTCTATGTGCTCAGGCAAAAACCTTTATCCTTGAATCCTCTATTTTTTTCCTCCATATCCAAATCATCAACAAATCCTGTCTGTTTTATATTCAAAGTATCTCCAGCATTCAGCTATTTCTTTAACTTCTTCACTATTGCCTTCCTGGCCTAAGCTGCCATCATCTCTCAACTGGGTTATTGTAGTAACTTCTCTATTTTGGTTTTTCTGCTTCTGACCTTGCCCCATTTGTCTGTTCTCAACAAGCAATAATTCTTTTTTCTCTTAATTTTTCCTCTTAAAGTCAGACTCAAAGGAAGTTGCCTAGTTAGCACGGAGAATTCCCATGTACCCTTTAGTCAGTTTCTCCTATTAGTTACATCTTATATTCTAGAACTGTACAACAAGCATGTCAAACTCGTGGCAAGTGGGCTGCATGCCTCGTCAGCCATGAGTTTGACATGCTTGCTGTACAATATCAAAAGCAAGAACTTGACATTGGTACCATGTGTATGTATATGTTTTATGCCATTTTATTACATGTGTAGATTTGTGAAACCACCTTCACAATCAAGATACAGAACTATTCCATCTTCCACGTACTGCCCCTTTATAGTCACACCCGCTTCTTCTTAATCATCCCTAAACCCTGGAAACCACTGACTTTCCTCTATATTTTTGTCACTTCAAGGAGTTATACAGTATGTGATCTTTTGAGATCTCCCCTTTTTTGTTTACTTGTTCTTCTAATTACTGAAGAGTATGTCAGTTTCCCTCTGTTTTGGATTGTGTAGTCCCCTCCCATCCCCAGTGTAATGTCCTTATGGCCTGTCCAAGTTGTTGTACGTGTCATTAGATTTATTGCTGAGTAGTATTCTGTGGCATTGGATGAGCCAGACTTTGTTTAACTATGCATCTGTTGTAGGGAATTTGTTTGTTTCCAGTTTTGGTTATCACAAATAAAGTTGGTATGAGCAGTCTTGCATAGGTTTTGTAAGCAAATCCTGTTTGTGTGTTAGATTGGCCAGCAGTTTTCCTTTGTTGTAATGTTTTGCCTCTAAGATTATGTTGGTCTCATAAAGTGAGTTGGAGATTGTCCCTTCCTTTTTTTTTCCTTGTAGGAGTTTGCATAAGATTGATGTTATTTTTTCCTTAAATGCTTACAAGAATTTATTATTGAAGCCATTTGAGCACTTGGTTTTCTTTGTGGGAGGGTTTTAAATTATGGATCAACTTTACTAAATAGGTATGAGACTGTCATCCTCTTGTGAGAGGTTTGGTAAATTGTTTTTTTCTACAAATTTATCCATTTCATCTAAATTTTAAAATAGTTTTATAAATTTACCTTCTTTGGGTGTAATTTGCTATTTTTCCTTTAAGCCTAGATTTATGTGTATAGTACACACTTTTTTGCGGGGGGGGGGGGGATGGTATAGCCAAGGTGGAAATTTATTAAAGAACAAGTACAGACTCCCACGTGGGGAAGGGGAAAGAATCTCACAGCACAGACTCCCACGTGGGGAGGGGGAAAGAGTCCCTAGTACATGCTTTTGACATTAGTATCTTTATTATCACTAGGTTAAAACTATCTTTTATTTTCCCTTATTATCAGTTCTTTGACACATGAGCTATTTAATACACACACACATACATATAAATTTATTTATTTTTTTTGGTTACTCTTCACCTGAGGATATTTTTTCTGTTGATTTTTAGACAGAGTAGAAGGGAGGGGAAGAGACAGAGAGAGAAACATTGATGTGAGAGAGACACATCACTGGTTGCCTCCCACACACCCACCTGGAATCGAACCTGGGACTCTTCAGTCCACAGGCTGATGCTCTATACACTGAGCAAAACCAGCTAGGGCTATTTAATACATTTTTATTGATTTCAGAGAATAAGGGAGAGGGAGAGAGAGATAAAAACATCAATGAGGAGAGAGAATCATTGATAGACGGTCTTCCCTACACGCCCCCCTACTGGGGATCGAGGCCGCAACGCAGGCATGTGCCCTGCCTGAACGGGAATCGAACCATGACCTCCTGGTTACTGAGTCTACACTCAAAAAACTTAACATCTATAAGAATAAAGAATATTCTTTATTCTTTGTTGTCATTGCTTAATTTCTAGACAGGAAAAGATTTTTTAGTTACCACTTTATATTTGAGTTCCCACTTATTCTACTATAATCTGAGAACATGTTTTGTTTGATTTCTATCCTTTGATTTTTTTTTTTGAGACTTGTTTTATGTTCCAGTACTTAGTCAGTTTTTGTAAATGATTCTGTCTGAAAAATTATGTACATTTTGCAGTTGTTGGTCCGCATGTTCTTTATGAACATTTTGCAGTACATTTGTTCATTGTGCTGTTCAGATCTTGTACACCTATACTATAGTTTTGTTTACTTGTTCTTCTGATTACTGGAAGAGTATGTCCGTTTCCCTCTGTTGTGGATTGTCTAGTTCCACTTGCAGGTCTATTAGTTCTTAATTTATATTATATTTTCCATTTTTATAAGTTTGGATCTTTTATAGTTTTAGATTTTCTTCCAGAAATTCTTCTAGTTTTTATTTTTTACTTTTAAATTTCTTTAGCATTCTGATTATTCTTTTTAATAAAGTTTGTTTTTTGAAAGCTCCATCATCTGGGTCTCTTTTGGCTCTGTTTCTGTTGTCTGCTCCTTCCTTGGTTTTTGATCATAATATCTTGTCTTCTTATGTACCTGGTTATTGTGAATGCTGGAGACTTAAGATGAAAAAATTGTGGAGAATTTAAAGGCTAGAGTAATACTATCTTTCCCCAGTGCAGACTTATACCTGTTTCTGGGGGATGGTTAGTGACTTTGGCAATCCTGGGTCATTTTAATGTAATCAGGGAAGAAGGTGACTTGAAGTTAGGCTTCAGTCCTCATGAGATCCACAGTGGGGGGAGATTCAACAGGACTTCCCTTGGCGGTCCTCACTTCAGTTTTTGCCCTCAGAATCCTTACTGGCTGTTTCTGGACTTGGAAGATGCCCCTAGAGCAGTGGTCGGCAAACCACGGCTCGCGAGCCACATGCGGCTCTTTGGCCCCTTGAGTGTGGCTCTTCCACAAAATACCACGTGCGTGCGCGATTGAAACTTCATGGCCCATGCGCAGAAGTCGGTTATCAGCCTGGGCGAGTCTATTTTGAAGAAGTAGCTTTAGAAGAAGTGGGGGGTGTCGGTCTGTCAGGCGACGGGAGACACGGCGCAGGCGGGCCGCAGGATACGCAGTGCGGGGGTGGCGCGCGCGCGATTCATGCACGAGTTGAGTGAGCCAGTCAGCCAGCAGTCTCAGTGCAGTGGTTAGTGCTAGTCGCGACCGCAAATTGACAAAAGTACCTACTCGAAGCATAAGTTTACCTGTATTTTTCCAACCAGCTGCAGATCCTACAGGTATTTTTGTCATTAATTTAATAGAAGAAACAAGTATACAAGACGAGTGTGGATGGGAGATTTGGAAGGAGTTACTTCAGGAAGGCTTTTTCAACTTACTTACTTTCTTATACTGGAAGTGGAACTTTTCGATATTGTGTAAAAGTTCCTCTGATGAATTAGTGGCAGCTTGGGTTCAGAACTACTGCCTCTCCTCATCTTCTGCTTTCCTCTCCTCCTGGGTCAGGTAATTCCAACCACTCAGGCCTTTATGCTATTTCCTAGCATGTTCCTGCCCTTTGTACTGGGCTGTTTTCCTTGCTTGGGGCTCATTCCCTAATAGTGAATAGCTCATTCTTATTTTCCTTAAGTCTTCATCAAAAGGTCACACCTATCAGCAATACCTTTTTGATCTTTCTGATGAGCACTACAAACAAAACAGCAACACCTCCTCCCCTTTAAGCCTCTTATTTTTTTTCCATTGTGTTCAAAACTATAGGACATGCTGTAATTCCTTTCCACCACCTTGCATAAACTTTTTATTTTTTGCATAAACTCTTTGAGACATTGTTTTGTTCTCTTGTCCAGCATCTAAAATTATCCTGCACATAGAAAATTCTCAGTTAATATTTGTTACTGAATGAATACATACATGAAATTATAATGAGGATGATAGAAGTACATGCTTTAAAGGGTGATGATTAAATAAATTAATACATGTAAGATATTAAAAACAGTGCCAGGCATATAGTAAGCACTCTCATATTATTTTTAAAAATTATTGCCTCTCAAATGATCACTTCTCATTTCTAGATATTATATAGATTGAAAATGACGTGCATTTTATAAAACAAGCTCATTTCTACCCCCTCCCCCACCCCTATTACTATTATGGTTAGCCCCAGATTTACAGCTGTTCTACAAGGGCTGGGACGGGAGAAGGAAGCTTAATCCATGGAACTTCATAGCCGGAGGATTTAGAGATGAGATCTATGCTTTTAAGCATTTGTAATTTCTGCACAATCAGGTAGCAGCTTTTAATGTAACTTAGTGAACAGTTGAGTGATTGAGTAGACTGTGCCCTTTGAACTTCTCTCTCTTAAAGAGGGGACATTCTGGGAGACTGGCACATAGGGTTTTTTAAAAATATATTTTATTGATTTTTTTACAGAGAGGAAGGGAGAGGGATAGAGAGTTAGAAACATCGATGAGAGAGAAACATCGATCAGCTGCCTCCTGCACACCCCCCACTGGGGATGTGCCCGTAGCCAAGGTACATGCCCTTGACCAGAATCGAACCCGGGACCCTTGAGTCCACAGTGGCACATAGGGTTTTATATAATGCAGATGAAATACAGTAATAAGCAGATAAGCAGATAGTGCCTTCTGTAGAAGAGAACATCAAGATTTATAGACCTGAGCAGTAAGCATTGACTCAAGCAAGTGTAAAGTCAGTGTTTCCCCCAAGAGACAACAAATCTTGATGATTAAAGAATATGTAGTTAATGTTAGTATACTTACAAGGTCTCATTAGAAGTATCTGGAAATCTTGTGGCAGAATCTCTTGAGTATAACTTCCCTTTAGGAAAAACCCACAACCAGTTTTTAAGTTGAAGAGACAGAGTTCTTGATGAGCTTTTCTCTGATTGGTTTTAACCTGGACAGCAAAGCCTTTTGCCTGACAGCGTTACAAACTAGCTGCTTTACCCAAGAAATTGCATATCATTTAGTTTTGGTTCATACCCACTATGATGTTTCTAAGTCTTGTGATAGTTTTAAAGATACAAGACACGGGCAAAATATCTTTGACCTTCATTAGAGCACTAAGAAAACATGTGAAATAGCCAATGACACACTACCACATGGGACGCTTTATATTTCTGATACCTTAGAAACTCTTAGAAAGTTGAGATGAGAAAAAAGCTGAAGAAAACTTCATGGAAAAGATGAACTGTAAATAAAATCTTAAGTAGGGTTTGACTCGACAGACAGAAGAATATTTTATAATGTGAGAAATAATCAGATTTTCAAAAGCCTAAGATTTAACATGTGAGCTTTAAAAATTTATACAAAGTAATAAATGTTAAGTTATAGAAATACTTGAAAAGACATAAGTAAAAATAAACCCTAATATCAGAGAACACTACCTTTAACATTTTGATATATATCTTCCCAGACCTATTTCTGTCCATGCATAAACAGATGTGAATATATACATAGGTGTTTGTATTTGTATATATGAATGAATGGGAAAATAAATATTTATAAAAAGGGATAAATTGTTTCATAAAGATTTACTTTAAAAGTTTTTGCTATTACAAAATGGTAAATACAGTAATTTAATTGTTCAATGAAAGAGTACTATGGTCTTTGTGATTCCTAAGGTTTTCCTTTCTGAACATAGTATATACATTTGGTAGAGGAAATAGAATCATTGTTTTGACTGATAATGAATCTCTTGTAATTGTTTAGGTGCTGGATCTTCAGCTTTGAAAAGGCCATTTGAAGATGGGTTAGGAGATGATAAAGATCCCAATAAGAAGATGAAACGGAACTTAAGGAAAAGTATGTAAAGTCTTTATTCTTATAGATGTTGACTAGAAAAGACTCATAGTCTCAGGAAACGAAAATTTTCATAGTGAAGAATTTGATTGATTTGAATTGGGGTTTTTAGAATAGATCTTCACTGAGAAATTGATGATTAAATAACTTCTTTTGTTTCCAAGCTTAATTGCTTTGAACAGCAATTTTCAACCTTTTTCATCTCATGGCACACATAAATAATTACTAAAATTCTGCACCACACCAAAAGATATATATTTCCTGATATGACCAAAAAAAGGGATAACTTTTATTCATTCACACTGGACAGCTATTGTGTTGGCTGTTGTTTTTCTATTTGACAATCTAAGGGAAAAACAGGTCAATGCCCCTGACTAAATAGTTAGGTATTGTATGTTTTAAAAATTCTTGTGGCACACTGGTTGAAAATCACTGGTTTAGGGTATATTAATTTTGCCAAACGAAAATCAATGTATAGCTGTAGTAGTGCATATTATTTTTACAGTGATGTTAGCATAATAATTTAAGGAGTAATTTTATAATTATATGAAGTTATTTGTATGTTTTTTTAAAATTCTTCTTTTAAAAAATCTGATGAATTTATAGTGATCACTAGGAACCTACAGATGCATAGATTAAAGCAAAATGGTTTAATATCTGATCTCTCTCTCTTTTTTTTTTTTAACAGTTCTGGATAGTAAAGCAATAGATCTTATGAATGCGCTAATGAGGCTAAATCAGATCAGGCCTGGGCTTCAGTATAAGCTCTTATCTCAGTCTGGCCCTGTCCATGCCCCAGTCTTCACAATGTCTGTAGACGTGGATGGTACAACATACGAAGCCTCAGGACCATCCAAGAAAACAGCAAAGCTTCATGTAGCAGTGAAGGTACTGTATGTCTTTAACTTACTAGTGCTTTGCTATTTTATGTTGTAAATAAGGTGTTTATTTTCCTATATTAAATTAACAGAACTTTTTTTAGATTTTAATAATATAAAGAGTTTGTGATTTCTGGTCACAGAATTCTTCTTTGGTTGTAAAATATGTGTTGATTATACAAAATTTGGAAAACACAGAAGAAAAAGAAATAAAAATGTAAGTTGCATATTTCTGAGACAGATGATTAATATTTATATATGTTTTATTTATCCAATTTTACCCTCTGATTTTCTTCATTTAACATGTCATGAATGTTTTCCCATGTGTTAAAAGCTTCATAAATAATATTTAATGTTGTTTGAGTAACATGATATGGATGTAATATTATTTGTTTAAACATTTCTTTATCATGGGATATTAGCTATTTGCAGATTTTTTCTGTCATAAATTTGATCATTGTCTTTGTTCCTGGTGCCTTTTCTGTGTTTCAGAGGATTTACATAGGTAATATGTTACAGGATTGAGCCAATTAGTCATTCATGTAGGTTTGTAGAAAAGTCCTAAATATTGGAATCCCTCTAAGAGCACATTTGACCTTTTGTAGACATATGTGAAAATGTCAAAGGCCATGTAGACTGAAGATAAGTTTTTCACTTAAAAGTTCTGTTATGTAACAATCTGGCATAAGATATAAATGGTTTGTTTTCATGATCATTCCATTTTGCAAGAAGCGTTATTAATGTAGATGCAGATATTATCCTAGAACTAAGGATACAGCAGGGAGCAAAGTCTTAATCCTCCTGGAGCTTGCATTCTAGTGTGATACGTTGGGGAGACAGGCCACAGATATATAAGTGAGTAAGTTACATGTCAGGTAATAATAACAATGCAGAAAAGTAAGAACTAAGCTTTAATAATATAAAACGATATTTATGTTCTGTCTTATTTATAAAAGGGGTACTTCAGGTGTGATGAAATAGACAGAAGAAGAAAGCCAAGAATGAGGGAAATGGTGAAGCCAGGAATAAGGCTAAAAATAGTTTGATAATTTAGCTATAATGTATTCTGAGAATGAGTCACAAATATAGACCTAGGTTCTCTGGCATCTGACACAAAAGCAGGTGAAATCTTGATCCACTGTCTATGACATAAGAATGGACAGTTGATTATGAGAGGCACAGTTGTTCTGGTATAAAAATCAGGTGGGCATTCTCCTTTGTAAGAAGGAATAGCATGATATCTTTTAAAAGATGCCCATGGTGCAGAAATACAGTTTGTGGTTGTTTTGTAGTAACCTTTAATACTGTATAAACTAGAGGCTTCATAGCAAATTGCAATTCAGTAAAATTTGGGCGAGTTAGAGTGGTAAATTTTGCAATATGACAAGATTTAGATGCTATGTGTTCTCATAATAACCATTAACATTTTGGTATGTATTTTTCCAAATCCCCCCCAACTTACAATTTCAAAATCCAAAAAGCACTAAAAATGAAAAATACTTTTCTAAGTTTGATGCAAACTCACTTGATGGGAAAACCTGACTAGAATTGATGTGTGGCTATTTTTAGTCTTGATGATTGTATTTAATGTGAATATTTTATCTATTTCTTTGACCAAACATGGGGTAGCACCTGAAATACCACTGGAGATTTAGAAAATATATGGTAAATATATTGTAGTCGCTTTCTAAACTCTGAAAAGTTATAAATTCTCAAAACAACCTGGCCCCAAGGGTTTTAGGGAAAGAATGATGGGAACGCCCTAACTGGTTTGGCTCAGTGGGTGGAGCGTCGGCCTGCGAACTGAAAGGTCCCAGGTTCAATTCTGGCCAAGGGCATGTACCTTGGTTGAGGGCACATCCGAGGGCACATCCCTAGTAGGAGGTGTGCAGGAGGCAGCTGATTGATGTTCCTCTCTCATTGATGTTTCTAACTCTCCGTCCCTCTCCCTTCAGCTCTGTGAAAAATCAATAAAATATATTTAAAAAAAAAAAAGAATGATGGGAACTACAAAATATATGCTTAAAATAGGATCATGTTTTCTTTGTTCATCTAAAAATATATTGAGGTTTTTTTAATAGTTATCACAAAGATTGTTCTCATTTTTACTGAGAATCTAATATTTCATTACCACTATTCTACTGCAATGTCACTAATCCTTTTTTAAATTTATATGCTTTCTGTTGATTACTTTACATCTTTTTGAACTAGTATGATTCTCCCTTAAGATGTATTCTACAGGTAGAATTACCAGGTCAAGAAGAAAGCCCATTTGAATGGCCTGTTAATTCATTAAATATGTATTGAGATTTCTATTAATGTCAGGCATATATTTCCAAATTGTCATCCATAAGGTTATACCATGTTACAAGTTCTATATTAGAGAGTTTTATATCCAACATGTGTTTGTGAAAGTAGGTTCCACTTGATAAAATTCCTTGCATTTCTTACTCACTAAGCTTGGTGTAGGTTTCTGTACCTGTTATGACAAATCACACCGTAGAATCAAAACAAGAAGAAACCAATTTCTGCCACAAGAGCCTGGCTGCTCAGCAACAGGAAGCCTACAGTGGCCAGTCTTCCCTTTCCTCCTGCAGTTATTTCTCCTTAGAGTCCCTCACAAGTAACACCTGTAGGGACAAAAGCAGCCGTATTTCATGGAAAGAATCTTATTCATTATGGAAAAAAGATCAGTTAGAAGGGGACACGAAGTGAAGGCTCTTTGGAGAGGTTCTGGGAGCTATCAGCTCTCTATGAGACAGAAGCCATGAATGGGACTTTGTTTTGAGTAGAGAGCCGTGGGGTAGAATGTGTTTTTATGTGTTTTCACTCTTGGCCTCTAGTCCTTTAGGGTGTCATCTTTCTCAGTCTCAACCCCCTATCATGAGAAAAAAAAGGCATGATTACACTGGACTTCCCAGTCACCTTATTTCCAGGACTCATCTTGTGAATTTCAGTTTATTTGATGTGTTTATTAGGTTGGATTTGTTAGCTAGACATCTGAAACCCACCTTTCTTTGGTATAGCAAATTTTTGGCCTTAATTTTCATTTCAAACAAACTTTCATTCCAGAAGTCTGAGGACTCTTCACCTTTTATTTTTATAGCATATACCAGTTAATCTTTTTTTTAAAATTTTATTTTATTGTTTAAAGTATTACAAATAGTAGTACATATGTCTCCTTTTTTTCCCCATTGACCTTCCCCCGGCCTCCCCTACCCCCCGGCACATGCCCTCACCCCAGTTAATAATCTTTGAATTATGTATTCCTAGAAAATTACTTAACTTGAAATTTTTTGTCAGTTGAGCTGCATTGCAAGTATTCTGTGTCCTTTGATATTATTTGTCAGTTATATAAACAATTTATGAATGTATTGAAATAAGTTACTATAATAACAGGTAAATAAATGACTTTGACATCTGAGAAAAGGGCAGAGAAATGGTGCTAAGTAATGCGCATGAGGCTATTTTAACTGTCTGTTTTAAATGGGGGGGAACTGCATGTCTCTATCTAGATTTTATTGGAATAAACCAAATTTACTTGTGACTCTGGCTTTTGACTTGCAGCTTGTTAGCGGGTGTTAATTCCAGGCTAGTAACTGTTCTCTCAGGGATGTGATTTCTCGGGAAGAACATATTCATTCTCAGGACTCAATGGAGCATGCATTTTCCTCAGAAAGCATTAATGAGGTTGTAACCAAATGATGTGAGTGTGTGCTCAGTGTCAAGACCTACCTGACCACTTTTAGAACTCAAGATGTTAAAAAAAGGGGTCCTTGGCTTTATTCCCAATTAATACAAGGAATTTATTTGTGATTTCAAGTGTTCAACAGAATGCCAGATTTTCCATATGAATTGAGTGAATTAATTTCAAGTTCTCTTGTACAGAGTTCTTAGGCTCTTTTTTGTTTAGTGGTACTACCTTATCTATATGGCTTAGTCCGTCATATCAGATGGCATTGTTTATAAAGGCTGGGCTGCCAGGCTGCTCATTTGTGTGATTATCAGAATAGTTTATTTTTATTTATGGTCTTTTTAAAGCCAACTTTATTGAGATATAATTTATATGCAGGAAAGTTAATCATTTACTGAGATTATGGTTTTTGGCAAATGTTTATAAGCGTGTAACTACCACCTCCATCAAGATATAAAATATTTTGTCTCATCCAGAAAGTCCTCTCATGTCTCATAGTAGTGCGTCTCCCTTGCCACGCCTCTAGCCCCTGGCATCCTCTAATCATTTTTCAGAATAGTTTTTTTGAGAGACACCTGTTAGGTATAGCTGGGAATTGTACAGAAATACAATGTGCTTTTATGTTCCAGCAACTTAAAACATTAGTCAAAAGCTAAAGCAAATACAGGGATCTTTAGGAACCTCTCTCGTTATTTTCTGATATAAACCTTTAAATTAGTAACTGACAGTGCCATATCAACCTGTTTAAAAGAGGCTTATGCAAGTGCTGGTGAACGTATTTCTCTCGTAAACGGAAAAGCAGTGTCACCTGGAAGGAGGTTTTAAAAGGCGCGCGCGCGTTTGTGTGTGTGTGTGTGTGTGTGTGCGTGCGCGCACAGAGCTCTGAAAACGTTATTTTATAAAAGATAAGAAATGCCAGGCATTGACTGGAACTTTAGAAGAATGAACATTGGAGGAAGCCAAGCCATAACCAATTCTTGTGAGGAAGGGGTGGAAATACAAACCTGAAATTGTTCCTGGTTCACTTCTTATAGAGACTGAACCTAAAGACTGAATGCTTCCTTTCAGGGCTCACTTATGGTTTTAGTTAAAAGCAAAGAGGCCAATAGGAGAAAGGTTCAGATGTTATTTTGTAATTGACTGGAAAATTGGTTTCAAGGTAAAGAAAGCTTCTTGATGGCCTTTTTGTGCTAATTTCTCCTAATGGGTTGGATCATAGAATTTAGAGGTCAACTAATCAGTCTTCCAGTCTTACAAATTGGAAAATTGAGGACCAGAGGAGAAATTCAGGATTAGACACTCCTGTTTTTTCTTTTCTAGTCCAATGTACGGTTTTATGTTTCCCCTCACCTCATTAATTGAACTTGGCTATTTTCTCTATCTCTTACTTCCAAATTAAATGAACCAGGAGCAACCTCAGGTTTTCATTTCCATCATCCTTTATTTAAACCTAATTACTCTGTGGAGGCTTTTCCCATTTTTATGGTGATACCCTGGTAGGTAAAACCAAGGATTTGTATATGTATTTAGTACCATCTTGCTCTTCCTACAAGGTAGTTAATAGATTCAAATGTTGTGGATTTGAAATTCTTTTCTTTAATATTTCATCTATTCTCTGTGGTTTCTGTTGTTTGAATAACACTGAATCTTAATGTAATCTGTACAGGTATTGCAGGCAATGGGATACCCAACAGGCTTTGATGCAGATATTGAATGTATGAGTTCCGATGAAAAATCAGATAATGAAAGCAAAAATGAAACAGTGTCTTCAAACTCAAGCAATAATACTGGAAATTCTACAACTGAAACCTCCAGTACCTTAGAGGTATATTTATACATTATTTTCCTTAGGGAAAAAAAAAATTCATTATAGAAAACTTGAAAAATATAAATAAAATAAAAAAGTATATATAAATGGATATATTCCAAAGGCAGATATTATTAATATTTTGGTTTATTTTCATCCAGCCTTTTTAAATAACATTTTAATTTTTTTTAAATTCTCACTTGATACTCCCCCTCCCCCCTTTTTTTAAAGAGAGAGTGGAGTGGAGGGGAGGGAGGGGGAGAGACAGAAAGAGAAACATCAATGTGAGACAGACACATGAATTGGTTGCCTACCGCATGCATCCCAACTGGGGAGGGCATTTAACCTGTCACCCAGGTACGTGCCCTTGCCCGAGAATTGAACCCTCAACCCTTTGGTGTGCAGGCTGACACTAATTATTGAGCAACACTGGCCAGGGCTCTGTAAGTATTTTTATGAGGACATTTTTATGCAGTTTTACATCTTGTTTTTCCCCCCACTTAATTCTAAAAATAACTGTAAAAAGCCCTGGCTGGTTTGGCTCAGCTGGTTGTAGCATTGTCCTATGTACCAAAAACTTACTGGTTGGATCCTGGTCAGGCATAGCCTGAGTTGCAGGTTCCATCCCCGATGGGGGCACGTACAGGAAACAACCGATTGATGTTTCTCTCATACACCCATGTTTCTCTCTTTCCTTTCCCCTCTCTCTCTAAAAGAAAATCAGTAAAAACATATCCTCACATGAGGATTAAAAAAAAATTTTAAATCTGTGAATGTACTGTGTACTGCACAACATGTTTAACTAGCAGTTCCCTTTTGCTGCATTTCCCAAGTATATTAACTATAACTGTAGAGCAGAGAAACAGAAGATCTAGTGGAAGAAATATAGGATTACTTGAAGTTGTGCTAAGCTGAAGCAGTGGGTTATCATTGAGTTGGAACGGCTCTGAGAAAGGCATATAGCTTGACCTATTATGTTCCTTAGACTCTGGGGAAATCCTGGCCTGTGAGCTTATTAAAACAGAAAGGGGCAGAATCCAAGCAATATATTCACAGCATATTTGGGAATTCATGGAGCCCTTGTTTATTGCATTCTGCATAAGGAAAATTGGCTTTCAAGTAACAGCAATAGCTTACATTAACATTTAAAAATTGTCATTTCTAAGAATGCATATTTATTAAGGACTAAACTCTTCTTAGTACCTGCTTACTACCAGTTGCTGAAGACATGTGTCCAGAGCCTCAAGATGACCTCAGGCTAGAAGGGCAAAAGACATGTTTATAACTAATTATACTGTAATGTGATAAAGCTCTGTGATTGCAAACTGAATATAATGATGTAAAATCTCCAAGTAGGAAATGATTGAAACTTATACACATGTGAAATTAAAGGAAGTAAAATGTGAGCTAGGTTTTAGATGATGTGTAGGATTTTTTAGGGAAGAGATAGAAAGAAGGCATTCTAGGTCAGAGGACTAGTAGGTATAGAGGAGTTGTGAAAGGAAATGTTTAGAAGCACCAGGTGGGCCAGTAAGGAGGGCCTGATAGGGACTGAAGCCTGTAAAAAACCATGTTGAGGATAGTAGACATGGTACCTGGCTTCTGAGAAGACTAGTCAGTCATTCACAAGTGGTAGTCACAGGCAGAGCAAGATGTTTTGCTGGCAGTTTTTGAAATTCTAAGAAGAGAAAGAGCTCGTTAATTATGAGGCTCAGACCTTTAAGTTGGGAGGCAATTAGGAAGGAAGAGTGCAGTGTGGCTGCACTAATAGCAGTCACGAGTATATGGAGCTTTTGGTAGTGAATACATCACTGCTTTGTTTCTGTGTGATGTAGTAAGGGGGGGGGGGGCGACACAAAGCCCTATTCTTCATTGAAGTAGGAGTAACTGATTAGAATGCAAATATTTTTATATCTTGACTTATTTTTATAAAAGTGATTTCAGATTTGGGAAGCAGAATGAGATTACCATAGACTAGTTTTTTAAAAAATTATTACCTTTTAAAGCTGGAGACTGGAAATGTAGATTATAAAAGCTCTTCAAAAAGCATATTTATTACAAAAGACTCAGAAATATTTATTTTAACTTGTCTTTAAAAAGAGTTCAATGTTTCACTTCTACAGCATCAACCACTTACCAAATCAGCGAGAATCTTGCTGTCCATTAGGTTTATATACATAATAATTCTTTTGGGCATTCATTTCTTTTTCAGCATTTTTTTAAAAATTGATTTCAGAGAGGAAGGCGGGGGGGGGGGGAGAAACATCAATGATGAGAGAGAATCATTGATTTGTTGCCTCCTGCATGCCCCCTACTATGGATCTAGCCCACAACCCAGGCATGTGCCCTTGACTGGAATCGAACTCAGGACCCTTCAGTTCGCAGGCTGACACTCTATTCATTGAGCCAAACCAGATAGGGCTTTTTCAGCATTTCTTGAGCAGTTACTGTGGTGGAATTAAAGACATGATCTCTAACCTCAAAAAGTCCTCAATCTTTGGGTCTTCCTCAAAATCATAGTTGTAGTATTTTGTGGTTTGTTTTACTTTTGGTGCTAACTTCACAATTTGAGCCTTCACACTCTTACGAGAATTACTTTTCTTCCCTTGACTCTTACCTTTTATAAAGTCAGTTCTTTCTATCATTCCTAGAGTAATTTTTTACAACGCAAATCTAATTATGAACTTACCCAGATGAAAGTCTTTTAGTCTTTCCACTGTCTATGATACAGGCAACGCCTGTGTGCCTGATACACAGTGATTAGGATCTGGCTCCAGTAGGGGTATTTGCAGGGTGAGGTTCTGCCTTATTCTTCTCACCCCTTCATCCAGCCAACTGAACCTCCTGCCGTTTCTTCTGTCCAGATGCCTTTCTCCTTTGTTTCCCCCTTAGGATGGTCTGGCACTTCGCTCCCTTTTATGGGTAGGTTCACAGTGTCACTTCCAGGGAAGTTACCCTGATAGCCCTAGAAAGTGATTCTTTCTATTGTGTTTCCATAATTTACATCTCATCTGTAATATACATTGTTTTACAGTGATTATATCTGTCCCTCCCACTGCACGATAGCTCCTTGCAGACAGGGAATGACAACTTTTATTGTTATTTTAAAATTTCAGAATCCATAGTTTATAGCCCATTGTTTTGTTTTGTTTTTACTTTAGGTACCCTTAAATCTCTTTAGAGATTCTGAAAGGTGTGAATGGGCATTTTCTTCCAATCTCCTAAATTGAGTTATTTTTTCCTAATCCTAACGATGAAAAAACAATGAACACTCACTTGAATCTCAACAGTTCTATCCACTTTGTTAGTAATTTAGATTATTATTCTTAGACCATGAACACAGATCAGACTCAAGAGTACGATGTACAGTAGGTCCTCGGGTTACGTTGGAGATCCGTTCCTACGGCGCGACGTAAGGCGATTTTCACCATAAGTTGGAACCCACCTACATAAGCACCTCCGTCACTCCCATGGAGCACATACACAGCAGTAATTAAGTGAAACAGTAAAAAAAAAAATTTAAAGAAAGATAAAAATTCCTGACCTTTACTTGTGGTAAATAAATAATAAAAACATAAAGCACATATGTACATAAGTCAAAATGACGGAACTTTTTTTTTTAATAAATAAATGGGAGATGGTGACATAACCACGAAACGACTATGTCGAGTCTGACGTAACCTCAGGACTGCCTGTAATGGCAAGATTACATTACTCTTGAATACTCTTCTATTGGGACAGCCCTGCTTCAAAGTCAGGGTGTGCAGATGACTGCCTGACTGGGATGTTTACTGCTTGTAGAGTTTTCACACCTTTATAGATACTTTGTCATTTGTATATGGAGGTGCTCATGCACTAGCTCCTGAATGCTTTAAAAATACAATTTTGAGCCTCTGTTTCAACAGAGAGTATAATTGTATAATAAGAAATTTAATACTTTGGAATCTTGCTTGCTCGAACCTCCTTCTAGGTAAGAACTCAGGGCCCTATTCTCACAGCAAGTGGCAAAAATCCTGTAATGGAGCTCAATGAAAAAAGAAGAGGTCTGAAGTATGAACTCATCTCGGAGACTGGTGGAAGCCATGACAAGCGCTTTGTGATGGAGGTGTGTACCTAGATAGAAGCCAACCTGTTTTGCCCTCAGACACATAGGACATCCTGAGCTTACACATAATAGACTGAGTCTATTCTTGTGGCACTATTTGACTTTTGGTGTTTTCTGTGTTATGATCCATTTAAATTAAACTACAATAGAGGAATTGCATGGGCTAACTTCAGAGTGTCATTCTTGATTTTAGGTAGAAGTAGACGGACAGAAATTCAGAGGTGCAGGTCCAAATAAGAAAGTGGCAAAGGCGAGTGCAGCATTAGCTGCCCTGGAGAAGCTGTTTTCTGGACCCAATGCAGCAAATAATAAGAAAAAGAAGATTATCCCTCAGGTATGAGTTGAGCATTAATAACTTTGAAAAATATTTCCATTAAGTTTCATTTTCTGCTTTTGTGCCCTGTTAGCTTTTGTTTTTAGTATTTGTTTTTCTTGGATTTAGCAATCTTTTCTTTGGGTTAGGTTATTAATAATATAAATTGCCGGGGTCCAACCCCAGCAGGTCCAGGGGTTCCCAAAGGCGTAGACGGAGTCGGCGAAGAAGGAAGGACACGGAGACAGTGTTCAGTTGATCAGCAGCCTAGCCAGGATCTCCAGCCAGGATCTCCAGCCAAGTTCTGGTCTGGATCTCCAGAGAGGTTCTGGTTAGGATCTCCAGCCAGGTTCTGTAGCCATGTTCCCTTGCTAGGTTCTCCAGCCAGGTTCTGTCCAGGTTCTACAGCCAGGTTCAGTCACCAGGTTCTAGTCAGGTTCTCTTGCCAATTTCTGTAGTCAGGTTCAGTCCAGAATCTTTTGCCATGTTCTCTCCAGCGAAGTTCTTCTGTCTGTAGGTTCTGTCTTCCTGGTTCTGTCTTCTAAGTTCTGTCTTCTAAGTTCTGTGTCCTGCTGTCTTGTTACATCTGTATTTATACCAGTTGATTCAATCCTATCAATCTCTATTACAAAGGTTAGGGCGTTTCTTATCTCCATTCCAGGGAGTAAAGATTATGTAGCTTAAGCATGATTGTTCATAGTTAAAGTGATTAATTACTCACCTGGCACTTAGTTGAGGGGTTTTATTCCCTCCCTAACTTCAGGGGAAAATCCCTACCTGGGGAAACAACCTTTCTCAGAGAGAAAGGTTAAAACACATAGTGCCAAGAAGGTGAGCAAACATATTAAGAACAGTATGCCATATATGCCAGGTCCTTTGAAACAGCAAGGATGGACCGGCTCCCGGCAATAAATGTGTCAGTAGGTCCCTGTTCCATGGTTGTCTTAGGCAGATTATATATTGAAAAGAGAATGTTAGCATTATTTGGGGGCTTCAGGTCTCTCTTGATGAGGTGGAGTGTTAAGGGATTTGGACTTGAATGAGATGTTCACATTTGTCTGGTTTAGGGAAGCTGCCAAGGGGACTTGGGCTTACTTTCATCAGTCTGCAGATGCTTTTCCATTTCCTTTTCAGTTTTGAATTTTTGCAGCCTTTATTTTGGGTTTTCTGTTGGAGATGGCACAGTAGAACTTGACCCTGTGTTGTTTCTTCTGTTGATTGGGAATGTCAGTGCTGCAAAGGTCTGGAATTAACAAGATATTTGGAAAAGATGGCGTCCTAATTCCATGCTTTTGGATAACAGATTCTTCTAACCATTTTTTTTAATGCATTCAAAAATATTTTCTAGACATACACCATGTGGATGGTTGTGAGGGAAAAAGATACAGAAATAAATATGACACATTCCTTCGTGGAGAGTACTTGTGTAATAATATCTGAATATATTAGGTGATAGGAAAAAGCAATTAAAATAATTAGATTAATAGAAGGAAGCTTGGGTTATTTAAGATTGTGTGTTAAACAGTTTCTTTTACATATGCTAAGTCTATTATAGGACGGTAGAATTGATCTCATTTTACCGATGAGGAAACAGGCCACTAAGAAATTAAGATACTGTGTGTAGCAACATAGCTGATTGATGGTAGAAGTTCCTTTTAAAACCAGGGTCTTCTCCTTCCAAAGACATGGGCATTCTACTGTTGCATATAACATCTTAAAAACTTTTGTGTTTAACTTATTTTATTTACTATAATAAATTGCTTAAATTTTAGGATTCAAAATATAAACAAGTAAGACTAACTTTTACTGAGATTAAATTAAAAAATAAAGTTTAAATTGCAGAGGAAGACATGTAGAGAGAATAAGTGGATTTTCTTTTCCTAAATCTTATAGAATATGTTCTAAATTAGGAGAAAGATAATTGTTACCTTGTTTATTTTGGTGTCTTTTTCCTATGAATTACATCTTGTAATTGGCCAGTTCATTTTTGTGCTTAAAAGCCTACTTGCAGAGACTTTTCAAGTAAGTTTAGTTTTAGTAGGAATGAGCTTAATTTGTGTGAGGTCACTCTGTTATTGCCAGATTGTTGCTTCCTGACTACTTTTGAATAAGCTGTGTTAAAAAAAAAAAAAGTCTGCTTGAAGTTCACTCTTTTTTAGAAATTTTCCATACTAGAAGCTATAAACCTCCTGTGTTCAGTGTGCTTGACAGCCAAGAAGCAGTCTGTTTTGGATGTGTGGGGTGATTTTTTTTTTTTCAGCCAAAAAAAATGGCAGTTCTCTGTGCATGATATATTCAACCTTGAAACTGCCTCTGCCTAGTTATACTAGCAGAGAGACTGACTTAAGAGGAGCAGAGGATGATGGTATTTCCATGTGAGATAAATGTGTGTGTGCTCTGAGATACTGTTGGCTTTATCATACAGTGAGCTTTGAGGCTCTCTCCCCTTCCCCCTTCCTTGTTTGTAGTAGGGAATATTAGTAGTTTCTAGCTCGAGTTTTTGTTGCATTATTTCACTACAAAATAAGAATAATATTTAAGTTAAAACTAGATACCCTTTGATTTTTTAAAAAATTTTAGTTTTGGAAAGGGATGTTTTAGCGACCCATGTTTGCTGTTACTCCTTGATTTAGTCAACTTTTCAGTTTTATATCTATATTCGATACTGCTCTTTGTACCCTGAAGTAAGGGGAGCAAAATGAGTATTATTTTACAATTACTAGGGCAACTCTTCTAGAGAGAGATTATGGGACTTTACCACACTCCATGGCATTTTAGAGCAAGAAAAGACTTTAGAGTTGGTATGTGTATATATATGTACTTATTTATTTAACTAGAGGCCCGGTGCACAATATTCATGCACTCACGGGCGGGGGGGGGGGGGGTATTCTCCCTCAACCCGGCCTGTGCCCTCTCGCAGTCCGGAACGCCTTGGGGGATGTCTGATTGCCACGGAGGTGGGAGAGGCTCCCGCCATCGCCTCTGCACTCACCAGCCACGAGTCCAGCTTCTGGCTGAGCAGTGCTCCCCCTGTGGGAGCGCACTGACCACCAGGGGGCAGCTCCTGTGTTGAGCGTCTGCCCCCTGGTGGTCAGTGCGTGTCATAGCAACTGGTTGTTCTGCCGTCGGCCGATTTGCATATTAGCCTTTATTATATAGGATGATTGGCGCACGCCCACACACACACCCCCACACACGCCCGCAATAGAAGAGGCAGGCTCAAGGAAATCGCATGACCTTCCTGAGGTCTTAGTAACTTAGAGCAGAAACTGGATCCATATCTTTTGTCTTCTGTCTCAGTCCTTTTGTACAAAAACTCCATTCCGGTTTGCAGCTTGTTCTGGGTGGTTTGTTGTTGCAGTATTTTTTATCTGTGGCCGGAGAAGTGAATGGATTTCGATCAAGTGTCTATAATTACTCTAATCTGGCCTCAGTTGAGTTTGGATGTAATTTGATACTGAAATTTGTATGTAGGAAATGAACTCTTTTTGGGTAACCCTCAAGTGAAAAGAAGTGATTTGCATATTCTTATGTACTTAGCATATTATCTAGAACAACTCTGTAAGGCAGGTGTCATTTTCATTCTACAGATGATAAAGTGAAGGCTTAAGGTCATAGACAACACACTGTCTCATCTACAGGCTCAAGTTTCTCAGAGATAATAGGATAATAGTTCTTATTTCTCTCAGTAATAAAAATGTGTTATTTTTAACAGGCAAAGGGTATTGTGAATACAGCTGTGTCTGCAGCAGTCCAGGCTGTTCGGGGCAGAGGAAGAGGAACTCTAACAAGGGGAGCTTTTGTTGGGGCTGCAGCTGCTCCTGGCTACATAGCTCCAGGTACAGTACAACCTGTAGGAGATCTGCCTCCTTTTTTGGAGGAATGGCGTCTCCTTTATTTTCTATGATTATACTTGGTCTCTGGAAACATGACACGGGTATAGGATGGGTGTGCACAGAAGTTGAAAGGAGAATCTACAGAATGTCATGGGTTTTCTCATGGAATTTGCCGAGTGGCTAGAGGCTTCCTGGAGGGAGTGACAGATGAGCAGTGTTGCACATAGATGAAGGGATTTTTTTGACAATGAGGAAGCTAAAAGATGTAGCACAGATTGAGGAGCAGAGTGTATTCAGTGCGATACCGAAGACAGAAAAATAGCTGCTAAGAGGTTATTTAATTGGGGTGAAGCCTGGTCATTATTAGCGTTTCCTTAACTCAATGTTTGGGAACCATCACAGACTAAAGAAACAAAAAAGGAGAAAAAGGGGAACTTACTTACACCATGCTATATAGTCTTGCTTAGAGCTTACGATACACCAGATACTTTAAAAAAAAATTATTGATTGATTTTAGAGACAGAAAGGAAGGGGGATGGAGAGAAACATTAATTTGTTGTTCCACTTATTTATGCATTCATTGGTTGATTCTTGTATGTGCCCTGAATGGGGATCGAACCCACAACCTTGGTTTACGCTCTAATCAACTAAGCTACCCAACCAGGGCACCAGTACTTTCATATAAGTGATTTCACTTAATTGTTTCTAATCTTCACGTGTTTCCTCACATGGAAATTATTTCCATTTTCCAGATGAGGAAACTAGGTTTAGGGAGATAAGGTGAAACAAAGAGTTGAATATAGAAGTTTGTAGTTCCAAAGTTTCTCTTTCCCATTTTACCACATGCCTTGAGGTAGATTGATAAAGGTGCCATCTCCTTGCCTTCTGTTCTAATCCATATGTCATTTTAGTGGTAGATACACATGTCCCATTAAAATCAAGTTCTCTGCAATATTGAAAGTATGAAACTTTTAACTTGACAAATAAACTGCTAGTAATTGTTGCTCAAGATGAAATTGTCCTAGAAATTGGGTTTTATGCAATCATTTTTTAATCTAACACTCCTAAGTTTACATAGATGGTGGGTTTTTTCCAAAGAATTAGAATAGACTATTTGGGAAGTTGTATGGATGATGGGATTTGGTAATTCTACCTTCTAGAGGTTGATCCCGGTAGGTAGGGGCTGGAGACACCCCCATTGTTTCTTGCTTGGGCTACTAGTTTATAAAAGCCTTAACTTGCCTTGGTCATATTTGTCATATACATAATAGTTCAGTTGCTCTAAAGGTGAGACATAACTAATCAAATAATCACTGTTATAGACAGAGATGATTTGATGACGGAGAAGGACATGATGCTACAAGAAGATGTAGTAGAAAACTGCTCTAGTCTGTTGGGTCCCTGAAGAAATAACACCTGAACTGAGCTTTGAAGCATGAGTAGGAGTCAACTTGGGGGAGAGTGTGGGGTGTAAGTTTTACACAGAAGAGAGCATGTGCAGAGACCTTGTGGTCCTGGTGGTAGGGAACTTGGCTCAGTTGAAGGTTTGGAAGGTCAGGATGTAATGTGGATATCCTCGGGGTGGGGTGGGAGTGAGTTGAGCTAAAGCTGGATGCTCAGGCCCAGTCCTGGAGGCAATGGTTTAGAATTTGTTCTTAGAATCGTAACTGCAGTGGTATGTCGTGAAGGATTCTAAGGAGTGAAATGACAAGATCAGATTTTATTTTTCAAGATCACTCTATAGTGTGAAGAATAGATTGTAGGAACACAAGTGGGCATGACAAGGCAAGTTAAGGTTTTTATAAACTAGTAGCCCAGGCAAGAAACAATAGGGGTGGTTTCCAGTGGGTGTACGGAAGTAAATGGGTGGCAGGAAGTGAACAGATTGAAGGATTCCTCAGAAGCAAAATGTATGGATTTAATATGGAGAATGAAAAAGAGTGAAGTTTCCAGGATATCTCCTAGGATTTTAAGCTGAAGGAATTAGACTGGATGACTGTGCCATTCAAGAAAACAGAGAACACTGAAAGATGCATGTTAGGGACATGGGAGAAAGGATAGTCATAGTTTGGTACATTCTGTGTACAAAATTAAGACATTCTTTTGTGCATCTCACTATTTCAACTGAAATTTAATTTTTTTTGGCCTGATTCAGTGCATTGTTTAAAGGAAGCAACTTTCACTTAACAACAGTAGGCAAGTTACTGAAAATAGCTTTCTTGCCTTTGATTACATGTTCCATTGGGACTTTATCCATCTGTGTCTGTGGTTGCTTAGTCTTGAACATTTACCTCCTGCTTGAGTGGTAAGCAGCCATCGTCCGTCTAGTGGCGGTAATTGTGAAGGGAAGCATTTAGGTCTGCTGTTAACCAGGCGTGTCTGCTCTATAGCAAATTCTCTCTTATGTCATCACGTTGACCTCTCTGAAAGGCCTGTCTCCTGAAGTTGTTAAAAATGAAGTTCTCTTATAGCCTAGAGAAGATTCACATGAGGTTGGTTTAGAGTATGAATAGGTTATATGCCATTTGTGGAGTACATGCTGTGCAGCAGGGACTGTAGTTAGTATTTTTACATATGTTATGTAATTACATTTCACTGCCAACTCAATTACTACAGTAGACTATGAGGTGCAGAGACGTTAAATAACAGGTACAATTCAAAGTCACCTTGCTAGTGAGAGGTGAAGTCAGGATTAGAGCCCCAATGGTTTGTTCGGTGGCCAGTCTAATTCCTTCAGCTTAAAATCCTAGGAGATATCCTGGAAACTTCACTCTTTTTCATTCTCCATATTAAATCCATACATTTTGCTTCTGAGGAATCCTTCAATCTGTTCACTTCCTGCCACCCATTTACTTCCGTACACCCACTGGAAACCACCCCTATTGTTTCTTGCCTGGGCTACTAGTTTATAAAAACCTTAACTTGCCTTGTCATGCCCACTTGTGTTCCTACGATCTATTCTTCACACTATAGAGTGATCTTGAAAAATAAAATCTGATCTTGTCATTTCACTCCTTAGAATCCTTCACGACATACCACTGCAGTTACAATTCTAAGCAATCTAACCTCATTTCTCTCTAAGGAGGTTTTGGTAAAACCCTTGAAACTGTAGTCTTAGCCAAATAGCCGCCTTTTCCTGGATTTGATGCACAACTCACTTTTTTAAGCATTAATTTCTCTTTTGGCCTCTCATACTGTTCCTACTGCTTATTTAAGCTGCATTGTGTCCTCTTAAAATAACGACTGAGCATCAAAGATTAAGAACAAGATTGAGACTAAGTTGTACTATCCCTAGTTTTATATGACTGAAGTGAAAAAAAATTTATCTTTCAGGAAATGTTTCAATTGGTCCCTAAAAGCAGTTTACTTGTTCAGTGTACATTTGAGTGTTTTGTCTCAAACAGGAGATTTGGAACTGGCCATTCAAAGATGACCAAGACCTAACGTCTGCCCTAGTGAATGCTTGGGGTCAGGTGGGAGTAGGAACAGACATTGAGTAAACACCATGCAATGTGGTGCAAGCTGTAACATGAGTGGGCAAAGAAGTGGGAGACTTCACAGAGGAGGTGATATTTGGTCCTGATCTAAATGATGAGTTGCAGCTGGTCATTAGAGCAGTAGACAAAGGGGTTGTAATGTGAAAGTGCTTGCTTTGTTGTGGGTACAATGTGAAGGGCCCATGTACCTTCCATGCCCTTGTCCTATTTTAGGAACCAATTTTTCCTAGAAACTTACCCAAGTGATTTAGTATTTATATTTTTTAAAGTTGTTTTACTGAAAGATTAAAGATTGTAGCTTCTATTAATATAATATTTCTAATCCCTACAACACTATAAAGTAGCTTGGAAGGTTTTCCATTTTAAAGATGAGAAAACGGCAACTCAGAATTATATGTCTAAGGACACGTAAGAAACTTGTGCCAGAACTAATTGGTTCAAAATCTTCTGTATTCTTTGTATTTGTATTTATTGACAATATGAGCCTTTTTTCTTTTTATTTTAAATTTTCAACCTGAGGAAAGCACGGGTGAGAATAGCTTTTTTTTTTTTTTTTTAAATTTATTGATTTTTTTACAGAGAGGAAGGGAGAGGGATAGAGAGTTAGAAACATCAATGAGAAAGAAACATCGATCAGCTGCCTCCTGCACACTCCTTACCGGGGATGTGCCCGCAACCAAAGTACATACATGCCCTTGACCGGGATCGAACCTGGGACCCTTCAGTCCGCAGGCTGATGCTCTAGCCAATAAGCCATACTGGTTAGGGCTGAGCCTTTTTTCATAGGTACCAGATGCTAATGTCAATTGCACCACTATTTATTGAGAGATCCTGTACTGGGGCCAGGAATTCAGGCAGCAATAAGACATGGACCTTGCCGTCAAGTCCACAGCCTGACTGACCTGTGTGCTCTCCTTAATGGCCGTTGAGGCTCCAGCCTGCTTTGTCACTGCTTTCTGGAAAGAGACTTGAACAGGTCTGTTCTCCAGCTCTAAGAATTGGTCACTTGAGTAGTTCTGAGTGTTCCTTTGTTCAACATATTATATTTAGCCAGTGCTTACTACATTCTGCTAGATCCAGGTGATGCAGAGTGTCTCTGCCCCCCGCCCCCCCGTGGGGAACAGAGACAGCAATTCGATAATTATAATAGTGTGGTAAGCATAGTGAGGCAGAGACAGGCTGTCCTGTGGGTCAGGGGAGCCTGTGGACCATGCAGAAAGTTTCCACTCTCAGCAAGCCTGAAGGGATGGGTAGACTAGAGCCAGTCTGGGATGGTTCTCATCCATCCAGCACCTGGACGAAGTCCTCAGAGCCCACAGTGCCGGGCCCAGTGTTACTTGTGAATTGGACCAGTGCCAGCTGCCCTTTGTCCTGGACTGATCTGCTCTCTCTTCTTTGCACTAGGCTATGGAACACCATATGGTTACAGCACAGCTGCCCCTGCCTATGGTATGTACACCGTCTTACTGGTTTCTCCTGTTAGCGACTCTGTCACAGCAATCCCAAGTACAGTTTGCATCTAGGGTTTCTTTCAATGAATTGGAGGATCTCAGACCTATTCATTCTAGTGACCCAACTTAAATTCCCTTTGAAAATGCCACAACCTTGTGGTTCTGGGTTTGGTTGGAGTTGCTCTTCTCTCGCTTTGCCTGATTGAAGGACTGCTTGTTTCTAATTGCCTGTTTCTGACCATACTGAAATTAAGTATTTTAAGTAGTTCTTACAGCCAACTTATACTCCATTCAAAGGCTACTGAAGGGCCATACGCAGTTTCTAGCTTGGTTGCCTGCCAGTTATGTAGCTATACTTAAGCTTCTGGTTGGAAACTGAACTATGGGTGATTGAAGTTAGGGATAGGAAATGCTCACTTCAAATTTTTAGCCATCATCCCTTACCAGAAATCTGCTTTAGAGGTGGAGTAAACAGGTCCTAGAGAGGTGATGGGCATCACCAGCAGTGTTCCCTAAGTGTTTGCTGCAGAATGTCTGTAGTACATGTCAGAAAATCACAGGAGTGTCCCCTCTCCCTCCAAAAATAAAAAGTAAAAGCAAATGCAGAAGTGAACTTCAGTGGCCCTTTGGATAACTTTTGAATGAGGTTTATGTGGCAATGGAGGCAATAGGTTTGGAGTCAGTGATATGCTCTTAGACATTTTTCCTAACTCAGGTGCTACATGTTCTAGAATCAACCATCTTCAGGGTGTTTGTCATTGAGACAAGAAGGGAGCAAGTGTGTATGCTTGTGTGTGTGTGTGTGTGTGTGTGTGAGAGAGAGAGAGAGAGAGAGTGTGTGTGTGTGTGTGTGTGTGTGAGAGAGAGAGAGAGAGTGTGTGTGTGTGTGTGAGAGAGAGAGAGAGAGTGTGTGTGTGTGTGTGTGTGAGAGAGAGAGAGAGAGTGTGTGTGTGTGTGTGTGTGCGCGCGCGCGCGCGTGCAGCCCCTGCTGGGCACGCACATTCACAAATGGGGAAGACCCTGAGTGTACCGCGGCTTGGGCTTTTGTTCTCTACATGAGCCCCGAGGCCTTTCATTATACTTTTTCTCTTCATGCATCAGCTTTTCCATTTTTGTTTGGATGAAAATTATGGGTCTTTAAGACTGCTAAATTGAAGCTTCATCTGGTTTCATAACTAGAAATAAGTAGAAAGTGAACAGTTTGACCTCTTTCCCCATTAGGGTAGACAATTATATCCTGGAAAGATGTGGAGAAGCTGCCAGGGTCAAATGTGTGGGGTGAGTGTCTCCAAGGCAAAGTGCAGAGGCTGGAGTTACTTCCCTTACCCGAGTGTCCCCTCTGGCACACTCTGGTTGGGTCAAGGCTCCCCCAGATTCCCTTGTTCTCAGATTTGGGTGAGTAGGAAGTGGAGATTAATTCAAGAGTGTGCTTTCACCCAGAATTGCCTCTGAAGTCACACTGTCCAGCTCCTTTTGAGTCTGGGTATCCTGACTACTGCCCCCTTCCTGCGAGTCAGGTCTGCTCAGTGTACCAGACACGTCTGACTCACTAGCCTCAGTCACGTGTCTGAGCGACAGAGCATCTGCCCCTAGGGCAGGTCTCCTTCCGTGTCTTTCTTTTGGATTCAGTCAGTCTCACATTCTTTGTAAGGTTTGCTAGAGCTCTGTTTTTCCCTTTAAAGCAGTTTTATATCTAGGCTCTAAGTTGCATTCACATTTTCCTCAGTATTTTTAATTTTTCTTTCTCGTTCCTCCCTTTTCTCTAACATTGTACTTTCACCCTGTGGCATCTGAGCCCCACAACAGAAGGCTCTTCTCCTCCATGTGCCATATAACTGACTTCCAAAGCTGGTGAAATTTGATGCCCCCATTTTTCACATAAAAGATTTGTTTTTAAATGTTACTGTGATGCCAACCTACTAAAACGATGCTTTATTTTGGCTGTAAGGGAAATATGTCTTTTGGCCTTTGTAAAGCTGTTGCATGTGGGGTAATTTCCCTCTGATCATCTGGTGCTCTCGAATACCTGCTGTTGCTGCTTTGTGATTTCTCCATAGGTTAAAGATTAGAATAGAAATAGGAGCAGATTTCAAATCATGCTTGAGTATGCAGAAGTTTGTGAGGCCACAAGAACTCATTAATTACAAAATTAAGAAAGCAATTATTAATCTTTCCAGATTTGCCATGCCAATATTGGCACTAGCCATGAACAAGATAAGCCCCTGGTCCTGACTCCACTTGGAGCTGTCTTTCTGGGGAGCTCAGGCCTGCAGAGAACGATGTGCTTTGAATGTTGACGATCTGTGTTTCTCCTGTAAAACATGATTTGCCAAATGGAGAACCAATATGGATTTCTAGAATCACTTTAGAATATTAATCAATGGCATTGCCTTTGATCTTTAGCATTCACGACAGCTCATTCATATGAAATTGCCTTCTGAATATCATTCTTCCTGTGATTTAGCCATCTTAATTTGAAGTGGAGAATATTATCAAAATATTAAGAGCAATTTCAAAATTGAGAGATTTGTGGGCCTCTTCCAAAATGGTGATGTTGACTGACTAATCTGGAAAAGGTTAATGATAATAATTGTAAGATTTTTTTTTAACCTGGAACTTTTATTGGATTATCAAACTTATTTGGAGTCCTTTCCGTTTCTTTTCTCTGTAGGTTTACCCAAGAGAATGGTTCTGTTACCCGTTATGAAATTCCCAACATATCCTGTTCCCCACTACTCATTCTTTTAGCAAATGACAGAAGCTAATTCCTATTGAACAACAATACAGTACGATACAGAATGTTAGAAACAAAGCCTTTTTATCCTGCTTTCTTCGAACACATACTTGATCAAAATTATTTGTAAAGAACATCTTTCCTACTTTTTGATTTTAACAAATGCAAATTTAGTTCTCTAAAACTTGAAAACAAAAAAAAAAAAATTAAAAAGAAACTAGTTCTGTGAAACGGTACCTCATTTCTGGAAAATAACTTATACCAGCCCTTCTGTTGTAGGGAAATAAGTCTAGCAGTTCAAAGTTTAAGAGGAGTATCAGATTATGTAAAATTAAATTTGTGAAGGATGTATAGTCTCAAACACTGATCACAAATAAACTGCTTTGTTGTACCCCAGAGTACTGCCTGGTTCCTGACATAGCCACTGATTCTAGCTGATTGACATGTATCTGCCCCAGGGCACTTTAAGTTGGGCTGTAGTAATTTTTTTTAATACAATAGACTTTTCATTTTACTTTGTAAATATTGAAGTGTGTAATTAAAGCCAATAAAATATGGGTTTGAATATTGTTTTAGCTTATTATTTTTGATATGTTTTGGTATAAAATTATAAGGAATTGAAAACTAATAACTTATCCTAGGAAACCCATCCATTTGTAAGCAAACTGCTAAAGTAAAACCAAGACGGTTGTGAGTCCCAGCCAGTCTCCTTACTTTGTGAGCCCTTCGTGCCCTGCTGTACAGGGGCTTCACCACGATCCGGGGTGCTCTGTTCCCCGAGCATTGCTTATCAAAATGGTGGCACCACCCAGAGATGGGAAAGGAGGAATAGGATCATTTTAGTTTCAGAATTCCCTAGTTTTAAAAACTAATAAATTAATTGACCAGTCACCCTCTCTTGTTCTTGTGGCCTTCTTCACTCTGTAAGATACTGTGTTCACTCCCTGGCTTTTTTCATGCAGATAGAAGATCAGCAATTTTTCTGGGATTCATTGAAGGGTCTTCTTTTCCTCTTCAATTACATCAGAATCTAAAGCAGCAACAGGGTCCCCATAAAAACTTGCTCTTCGATTGTCCCAGTTCTTGTTGAGTGCTGCTGTGAAAAGTGACAGGTTTCAGCCATGGGTCAGCATTTATTTTTAAGACACCTGGTTAAGCTGGTGACAGATGATGACTGGGTATCATTGTGCTGTTCTGTAAAGGGTGCAGACCTAAGTCTTCCACTTGCATTCTCACCTTGTTTGAAAAGCCTATGATGTTACTAGAAGGTAATGGTTTCATTAAGGTACTCACCCCCATGGAGACAACAATGTGGTCCCATGTTGGTATTTACAAGTTGCTGTGTCTTAAAAATGTCCGTTTTTAGTATGAAATAGCTTTCTTCTTCCCTCTTAAATTCTGTTTTTCAGAGTGGAACACTGCCCATCAGTGAGAATGGGCTTCACAAAATATGGCAAATTGATTGCCAGATTCTTTGGGACCACTAAATGAGAATGAAACGGGCAGTTTAAAACAAATGTTCATGTCACTTCTCAGACATCTATTTATTACAGTGGTTTGTTTGTTACTTCTGCTCCTTGACCTTTTGTCTTATTAGTGGTGGGTGATTCTTTAATAAAACCTCATCACTTGCTAGAAATAGCTGTGAACTTATCATTCTCATCTATGCATTAGTGGCTAGACGTAAACAGGAGGCCCATTTCGGCTGGGAGTTTTCATTTTTCATTGATTCGTTTTGCTGACCTATGGATGAAACAGAGCCATCACTGAGAAGAAAAAGCATGGCTGATAGTGTCCAATTTTTATTAAATATTTACAATAGTCCTCTTGGTTTTTGGAATACTATTAATTGGCAGCTGCAGCTGTATTGTCATTTGAAATTGATCGTCAAATTTGCATTCCAAGCTGGAATCTCTCTGGAGATTTCTCTTTAGAAAATTCTTTAGAATTAGCTGACTCAGCTTCATAGCTCGATCCCTGTATGATGGTGAAAAGGGAGCTGTGCTGTTTTCCAACATGATGGCAGTCATTTCAAATGGTTTCTACCAAGTCCTTTTTTTTGTTTGTTTGTTTGTTGGAAGTTACTAACCATGTTGTAAACCTGCCCCGTTGCTGCAAACTTTTACATTTCTCTGCTTTACTTAAAATAACAGAGCTGTCAGTCCTTTGTTAGAAGTGGTAACCATTGCAAGTTCAACTGTTTAAATTTTGTAATGAATTAAGTGTCCCCCCTTCTTTTGCCCTTCCCACCCTTCCATTTTGTAATGAAAATTCCACTTACAGCTGAAAGAGCAGAGAAATATAAATGAAGCTCTTGGCTTCACCAAATTCTGTGAAATTAACATAAAGTTTTGCTTCTCTGCTCTTTTCTCCACTGTAGGTGGTTTTTTCATTGAAAGCCCCTATTGCCAGCCTCTCAGCGTCGCACCATTTATTATTCACTTGGGCCCTCAAGATTTCTTCTCTGACTTCTAGAACCATCAGGTTGTCTGGCTTGAAATGGCAATTTCTATGTCTTGGTCTTAAGAGCAATGTGACCCCTGAGGCTTTCCAGCTCTCAGACACACCACTCTGGTACCTTCTTTTGGAAAGCAATGACTGAACATTTTAAAGACGAGCAATACTTTACTCAAAGCCACGGTGTCTGTTCTAAAACTTTTCTTTGGAAACCTAGCAATATCTGTACTTGACTCCTCCTAGTGTAGTCTCTTGTCAGGGAGTTTACAGACCAATGTAGAACTTAGAATTAGTGTGTGAGCTGTGCTATATCTTCGAACCATTTTTAAACTTTTTTAGCATATAAATTGGGTAGTTGCATTCCTGACTGCGTCAGTTAGTGCTTTTATAATGTCTCAGAGATAGGGGTTCTTGAAGCCATATTCTTTGCATGGAGGCTGGTGCCCAGCTGTGGATGTGGCCTGTAGCCTGTGCTCCTTCAGGCTCAGGAGCACCCCGTCTTCTGTGCAAGGAAATGGTCCCGTGGTTTCCCACATACCTCATGCAGACTTGCCACCGTGCCCAGTGCAGTGCAGTGCGGAGTCCTGAGGTCGTCTGTAGTCCCCTCAATCTGTTAACCCAGGGGACACACCTGACAGATTGTCCTGGTATTAACCTTTTCTTCTTTTTAAAAATTTGGGTGAATGTTTGGAAATCATGAATCAGTCAGTCACCATTATTAATTGAAGAGCTGGGAATACCTCGTTAATGTATTTTTAAAACTGGTGTTGGACCCTCTGTGTATTTCAGGTTAATACTTTTAAGCAGTTTTCAGCACGTTTATCTCACTTTATTCTCGTTCTCCTCGGACCTTCGTAGCCATATCACTTATATAAAATAGGCTGAGATATAGTGACTGTAAGCTGTGCTCTCAGTATACAAAGGTAAGCTCTTTTACTTTCTGATTAAAGAGAAAAGTAATTAAAAATGGATGAACACAACATGCATGCATATATTACAATCATATATGATGTAATGGCATCACATTTCCTTTAAAAAATTTTGTATGATCTAAATGTAAAATAATTATTTTTGGCGTTTCTTTTAATACCTTGTTTTACATTCTATTCAAGAGACATTTCACTTTTGCTGAGTTAAGTGTGTGTATGAGTGTAGAAACTTAAAATATAACATATGTGAATTACACACACATACCTGTTTAAAGAAAAGAATTCAGTGGTAGAGAGAGTTCACCTAAAAAGATCTTAACATCAGGGCACTCTTGGCCAAAGTGCTGGGATTTCATAAGCAGCAAGGTTGGTGACAGTGCTGGTAGGATGCATTTATATGTAGTTGTTACACAAGCTGAGGACTGAAGTGCCAATTTCTCAAGGAGAAAAACTCTGAGAAATGAAAATCTCTGATCTATGTTGTATGCCCTAATGCAACAGCAGCAAGAAGCCATAAAAAAAAAAGCAATAGAAAATGAAAAAAACCAAAATATTAAGGTAACTATGAGAAAATATGTAATTGACTGAGTTAAGCTAACTATTTGCAGAACCAAATTTGGCAAGACTCAGAATGGTAAATACCCAGGGACCAAATAGATGTAAGGCAACTCACCTGTCTTTCTAGGTTCGGTAGCTAGATGATTTATTTCCCACCTCATTCAGCCATCATGGAGTTTATTTAAAATATGTCAGGGTTAGGCCAAATATTTTAATAAGGATTTGCTTTGTTTAGTGTGTCCCATATATGCATTTCACATGTGTCAGATGTTCTGTGCTAAGGCTATTTTTTTTATATATAGATTAAAATGAATTTTATGTTTTATATTTGTCTCTAAGTAGCAGTTTTCTTTTTATTACTAACTTGAAGGTTGCTAGAACAACTTTCTTTTCCATACAGAACCTGCATGTATGTTGAATGTGGCTTTCACATCTATAAAAGATTGTATGAGGTCTAGCTGACTAGTAGCAAGTACATTTCAGTCCTGCTCAAACAGCCAGGTGCCCATTATGTGCCAGGTCCTTCTCTGGGTATCAGCAAACAGAGCCCTGCCCAGTGGAAACGCTTTAAGTCTGAGTCTCCTTGTTGATGGAATTGGGCCTACTATAAATATCCTAGCTTGGGAGGCAAATCATGCGCTAGAAATGTCAAAAGATTAACTTATTTAATAGTTTATTTATAAACTAGAGGCCTGGTGCATGAATTCATGCAACAGTAGGATCCCTCGGCCTGGCCTGCGGGATCAGGCCAAAACCGGCTCTCCGACAGTCCCCCGAGGGGTCCTGGGTTGTGAGAGGGCGCAGGTCAGGCTGAGGGACACCACCGGTGCAGGATCGGGGCCAGGGAGGGATGATCAGGGCTGGGGATGATCAGGGCTGGGGACGGACATGGGAAGTTGGCCAGCCGGGGAGGGGCCGCGGGAGGGCTCCAGGCCATGTCCGGCCCATCTTGCTCAGTCCCGATCAGCCAGAGCCCAGCAGCAAGCTAAACTACCGGTCGGAGGTCTGCCCCTTGGTCAATGCACATCATAGCCACTGGTCGACTGTCTGCCCCCCTGGTGGTCAGTGCACGTCATAGCGAGCAGTTGAGCGGCCTGAGCATTTCATTAGCATATTACGCTTTGATTTGTTGAACGGATGACTGGATGACCAGACACTTAGCATATTAGGCTTTCATTATATAGGATTAATAATATGGGCCCTCTGACATCACAAAAATGAGCATCCAATGGAAATTCACTCATTTTAAATATTTCCCTGCCAGTTTTGACAGCTCAAAACCAACTCTGGTTTATGTTCATGGACCTCTATCCAAGTAAGTGAACTGAATGAAATTAGTAACAAATACCCCAGTCCTTTTATAGCAATTTTTATAATAGCAAATAACAAACTGGCTAATTTAAATACTGACCACGTATTTTTTTTATGACAAATGAGGGGAATTTTACCCTTCTAACTATTTACTATTACTCCCCTGTTTCTTGGATCGTATTAATAACTGCAGCGGATGTAAATTTTCAGTAGTGAGTTAGGGGAATGAACTGAGATTCCCTGCACCCCATTCCTAGCAGTTAGAATTCTAGCAATCTAGAGCCTAAAAACCAGGGCTATTAAGAACAGTTATAGCTAAAAACAGCCTGCTCTCTGAATGGTCGTCCTGCAACTGCCATTGAGCTAAACCCTGTACCTCCTCGCTGTGGTGGGGGGTGGGGCTCTCTGTGGTCATCAGAACAAGGAAGGTTCTGTTTTATTCAGACTGGTGCTGACGCCATGCTACCCAGCAACCATGGATTTCTGTGTTACCAGGAGGCCTGGAAGGGAGGTGGGTGGTAAATGAGTAAGAACCCCAGAGCCAAGAAAGCATCCCTGTGGAGGTGAGCTTCTATGCTGATGTGTCTCTAGTGCTTATGAGCAGAGCATAGAACTAGTACTTCTTACATAGGAATGAGCTCCTTCCTTTCCAGTGGCATCTTCCAGAAAGGCAGCGTTAAGTCAAGAATTTGAGTTGAGTTAATTTTAAGAATAGATGTCTTTTCTCACATCATTTTTAGGTGGGAGCTAACAGCTTCCATTGATGCTTGAAGCAGTCATCTTTGGAGATTTTTAAAATAGCATCATAATGCAAATTAGGTTATGTAAGCTTTACAGCACAGCTAGAAATGGGAATAGAAACCTTGTGGGAATCTGGACCAAAGAATTTCTCTCCCTCCAGCAAATTGCTATGGGGCTTGAGAATTAGTTAATAACACTGAAGTGCTTTGAGTAGTACCTGGCACATAGTTAGTACTCAGGAACTGTTGACTGTCCTTCCCATGGTTGGCTGAGGTGACAAAATATGTGAGGGTGGCAAGGCTGTGCTGGCAGGTAGCTGAGAAGCAGGTGTGTGGCCTGCTTAAGGGGGAGCTGTGTTGGTTCCTTAGTGCTGACAGGGTTGGGGTGCACCCGGGCTTTGGGAGAGGCCTGTCCTAGCATCTGGGGGTTAGACAGGAAACACAAAGCACACACTTAGTGAGAGCTTAGTGTGTGTGTGTGTCGGGGGGGGGGGGGGTCACTGCAGATCTGTGCTGAACACAAAGGCTCACTTCTCTGCTGTGCTGGTGAAATCACTGGCCAGTCTGCTGCCGGGGTTCTTAAATACTTGCTGTGGGATTAAGTGTGCTTACAGAGGCTGAGCTTAGAATATCAGCCTGCTAATTCCAGGTTTCCTACCAGTGATCAGTAAGAAAAAAGAGTGTGTTTGATTACCACCAGCCCCTAAATCCAATGTTCAGTCACCAGGGCCCGGCAGGCAGAAAGCAAACTGAAAACCACAGGAGAGAAAGGAGTCTGGGTTAGGCTTAGGCTGTTGACGCAGATGCTTCTCTGAATAGCATTCCCGCAGCTTCTCTATTCCAGTGTGTCTCAACACTTTGAAGGGAAAAAATCTGTAATCACTACATCAGGCCTTCCTTCTGTCTGCCAGTTTTAGAATCAAACCTGTCCGTCCGTCCATCCATCCATCCATCCATCCATCCATCGATTTATCTGTCTGTCCAGGCACAGTTGGTAAGTTGCATTTCAGCAAAAGGAAAAATGGGTAGGTGATAACTATAACTGTTGGATTGAGTAAAGGAGATGTGTCTTTCTGTCCATTTCTGGCCAGCATGTGTCTGTGGATACCAGAGTCTTTGAGGAAAGGTGAGCAGATGTGTCCCTGTTTGCTGGCAGATGAGTTCAGTGGAGATTAAGTTCTGGGATGCTCTAAAGTTATAAAAACTGTATAGACAGGACTGGACTGGGTGTTACCTTACCTTTAAAGGCAAATAAGATAGATTTGCATTCTGTTCAAGAGGATTTTCTTAAACCCGAGATATTTGTGTAGCTGATGACCTGGTAGAAGTTACTCCTTTCCTCAGCTACAGCTGTATGATGACATCATTGCCTCATGGAGCCATGGTTGAGGGCAGATGTCTTTTTTGCGTAGACCAATCAGTTGTCTGTATGTTAATTACTTGGTCCTTCTAAGGAGGGTCTTGGTCTTTCTTGGCAGAACTTTGCCATTTCTTCAAACAAACTGTGCTGCCTCTGCTGGTGGGTAGCATGGAGATGGCCACCATCCACCAGGGCAGTTTAAGCGTCTGATTAGCCTGGTTGCTGTGAGGACATTCTCTTACCACCGCCTAGGAGCCCAGTCTCTCTCTGTTTTGTTTCAGTTTCTCCTATTTTGATCCTTTTGTGTGATTTAGATGACTTATCTCTGCATTCAAATGTCAGCTAAATGTCCCAGGTAAATAAATTAACAGTAGCCTTCAAATTAGGCCATTTTGGGCTGTGGGCAGCAGTAGTTTGAAGAAGCAGGAATGGAAGAAAGGAAAGAACAAAGCAACATGCTAAAATTGGTATACAGTAAACCCTCAATTTAATGGACTTCGGATTTAATGGACTTCAGATTTAATGGATACAATTTCCAGTTTGTATGTTAATTTAAAAATGATTTTAACCAAGACTTGCTTATAATTAAATTAACAGGGTTTCTTTTGTTATCAATTCACTTATTTTTAACAAAATTTAGCAAATAGGCCGTATGTTGGAAAAACCACTGTAGTAATTTTGCTGCCATAAATATTACATATTTACAAGTATAGTCTACATCATTAAATCCAAGTCACCACTCGTAAACAATGTTGGGCGAATGATTAGCACCTGCTCACCCCGCATCGC